CAACACGTGGAAGGACTTATCCTCCTTACGCGTGTTGTTGTGTTACTTTCGAATGAAGTAAAGTCCATGCCAATGCAGAGCGACTGAATCGGGATCAAATAGCAAGATAGACAACAAGCGTAAAAAATAACTTGCTGCCAATGACGTAAAGCAATAGCAGAGCCGATACTTACCATTTATGCTATCTAAAAGCATTAAATTTGTGTTACACTGCGTGGCCAAGTACTGACGCCTTCACGATTGGGCCTCTTTGCATCCTCATCACTAGACTGATGGATACATGCATGTCTACTACTTATAGTCTGAACTTAAAAAGATTGTTTTACTAGTCACTGGCAATCTGCTCTATCAACTTTCCACGCATTACTCACTGTTAGCTAAACTTATAACCATGACAGATATAAAATAGCAATATCCGCATATCTGTAGATTGAGAATGTAGCACTCAACGCGACAACAGCCTCAGCAAACATATGTATGTCCTCAACCAAGCGACGCATCGTTCATGCTATAAACAAACTTAACGATGCGACTATCCTGGCGCAGACGCCAATCCTTCGGAAGGACATGGTTTTGGAGGCCACGTCAGGAAGCACAATTTTGTTATATTTGACATACGGCTTCTACCAGATCTTGATGCGGCCTCAAGATGATATACTAAACTCCGGTAGCACGCCTAGTGGTATGCTTGGGAGTGGCTTGTCATGCCGCAGGGCTCAAGAACACCCCTGCTACTTTCAACCGCATGGCCTCTCACGTGCTTCGTCCATTTTGCGACTTTGCGCAGCGCTATTTTGATGACATTTTGCGCATAGTCGCGCATCCGATGACGCAACAGAACTGGACTTACATCTCGATCACCATCGCAAAGTTTATAAGGCGATGCGTGAAAACAAATTGTATGCGAACCTGATGAAATGCATCTTCTGTGCTCTAGAGATTCCAGTGCTGGGTAGTTACGTGAGCTCGACAAGTTTTTGCGCTAATCACGAAAACATCTCATCCATTTGCTCATAGCCGGTTCCGAAGGACCAGAAACATCTTCGACAATGGTCGGGTCTGGCCAATCACCTGCATCACTATGATAAGAACTTTTCGGCAGTGACTCATTCATTGTCACATCTACTGAAGAAGAATGCCACGTGGGTGTGGCGACAGGAGCATTAGGATGAATTCGACGAGATTAAGACGAACTCGAGAGCAGCGCCTGTGTTAGCGCTGCCGAAACATGACGCGCCATTTCATGTTGTCTCTGACGCGATCATTTTGCAATCGGCTGTGCGCTAATGCAACGTGATGCCGTGGGGTAGGAACGCATGGTAAGCTACCAATCTCGGCAGCTAAAGCCTGAGGAGCAACACTACCCCGTTCATGACAAGAAGCTGCTTACAATGCGCTATGTTCTCGTAAAATTTCGCATTTATATGCTTGGAGAGCATACATCCGCCATCTACACCGATCACGCGAACCTGCGTACCGCCACGAAGAGCCCCCATCTCAGTTAGCGCATAGCGCGCTGGCTGTCGTTCTTCGTGGAGTACAACATTGTCGTGCATTAGAAGCCTGGATCGTCCAACATCATTGCCGATGCCTTATCGCGGCGTCCAGATAATGGTTCTCGTGCTGATGCTTCTATTTCCACCGACCCAAACGCGGATGATGATGACTGAGCGGCTTGCGTTTCACTCGATCTCCATGCTACGGCTGTGTCTGCGGTCAATCCTCTCAGCGCTGATATCGCGGAAACGTATTCCCGCAATGAATTATACTCGCCAATTGTCCGGTATTTGAGTAACCCCTCGGATGATGCGCTACGGTCCCTATCGACTACCACTCGCGCACACATCACGCGCTATGCTTTTGATAATAAGCTGCTTACATACCTAATCGATCGTTTCGATTCTTCACGTATCGTCGTCCCCCTTGACGACAATCTTCGTGGGCGTATCCTTTGAGAGTATCATGACAGTGTGTCGAGCGGTCACTTGGGTTGCGAGAAGACATATCTTGTCACTCAAGACTTTTGTTGGCCCATATGTACAAGTGGGTGCCTCAGTGGATTTGCTCTTGTGAGTTTTGCCAGCGTGTGAAGCCAGCTCCATCGTCACAGGCGCCCCTTTGCCCGCTGCCGATCACCACGGAGGTTTGAAACTCCGTAAGCATGGATTTCATGTTTGGTTTACCCACCGATGCGCAGGGGCACACTGGCGTTTTGGTGGTCGCTGACAGATTTAGTAAGATAGTGCTTCTTTCACTTGTTCGGCGTCCATCACTGCGGCGAAGAGAGCAGCTCTTTTCGTTGACATGGTCTTTTGGCATCCTTGCATGCCTGCCACAATGGTTTCGGATCGGTATCCTCGCTTCACAGCCCCATTTTTGGTCTCAACTGCTCGAGATATCGGCACCCGTCTGATGATGTCTACCGCTGCGCACCCTTAGACGGACGATCTGACTGAGCGAGTCATCGCGTCTTGGAGGATGTGTTACGTAGATACTCTACTTTGTTTGCTCAATAGAGTTCTTTTCTCCATGGCCGAGTTTACACGTAATAACGCAGTCCACGCTTTGACAGGGTTGACAACCTTCTTCGTAAACAACGCGCAACATCCACAAGTTTCTGTTCTTCTGGGACCATCCGGTTGTTATACTCTTGGTATAGAATGGACGCCCAATGACTTGGTGTCAGCGGCGTCTTTACCGGAAGTACTCGACGACTCGCTTGAAATTGCTTAGACTCGCGCTGCTATCAGCGCGAGATTACTCCGACTGCCAAGACAACGCGACTCAGCCGCCAATCATAGAACGTCCTGCAGCTCACCTAGTTTCGTCGCCTGGTGCGACATCTGGCGTTGCTGCTCCCAACGTTATACCGATGCAGAACGTTCGCTTATCCGACCCCACAGCGATTGAAGCGTTCGTGCAACAACGTCAGTCCGTCGTGCGGTTTCTGCGCGACGCTATCGCTTCTTCAGGGGACAAACCAAAGGCGCCCGCTGACAGACGTGGACGCAAAAATCTTGAGGGACTAAAACTTGGTGATTCTTTTCTGTTTTCAACAAATGGAATACGCGATGCGTCGGTCATGAATCTCGGTGCCACAAAGCCGACACCGCGATGTATTGGGCCTTTTAAGATCACTCAACTCAAGGGGGATGCCTAACACTGGATATTCCTTCATCAATTCGTCTGCAGCCAACCTTCTACGTTGGATGTCTTAAGTATTACTGGTCGGCGTTCTTTTGTCGTCTGTTGACTCACCGCGAGTTCATACCGCGGTCCCGATAACGTGGTTCTCTCGTCTGATCAGGCTGGCGCAGCCCATACAAAAGCGCGTTGTCTCGACGAAGAGCATCGTTTGATTGTTCTAGACGTTCAAGACGCTGTGCGAATCCAGTAAACGCAGACGAATATCCTCAGCAAGGATCTCGGCAGCCACGGATAGGTCGCGCATTGGACTTGCATCATGGTCAACGAAGGTCATCCGCCGACCGATATCCTGCAGCTGCTTCACAAGTGAGTGGTTCAGAGTCGGCGCAGGAGCTTGTAAAATATTGCGCCGACTCTGAACCACACGTACGATTCTAGCGTGAGGACCCTCCATCGGGTACAGCGATTGAATAATTAATTTATTTATGTACTTAGCTATGTCTACTTATGAAAAAGGCCTATAGATCGCACCTAGCAGGATGTGTACAGTACCCCCCCCCCGTCGCCCCTTTACACATAAAATAGCATACGTCTTTGTGTGCACAACAAAATTAAAAGAAGAAAGAAAAACAATAAACGACTATCAACGGTATCGTTGCCTTTGAAGCAGCGATCGCGGCCACAATGAGCACACGAGACGACCCCACTTCACCAAAACGCAGACACTGACACCGTCATCCATGGCGTTGTCAATAATACCAAGTATCGTACGTAAAAACGCTTCGTTTCTGTAAGTTTTACGACTGCAGCGGCATAGAGAGTTCGGTGGAGACCTTGATATGCGTGAAATGTGGCGCCAATGGAGACGAATACGCGGCAAGGCAACTGTGGTTACTCGCTCTGTGAGACAAATGTTACCCGGCGAGTCTTGGACTCCATTCTTGCGCCGGTGGAATACTGAATCATCGTTCTCTGATCTTGTGCCGATGCGTGAAGGACGACGACAGCGCTATAGCCTCGCAAAGACTCGGTAGATCGTCTGCGAGTTGTCATGGGCTGCTGACCGCCCTGCTTGTACTGTGCACTGGCGCAAAGGCTGTCAAAGTTGTGATGATTTTGGTGTAGCGCGGCCTAACCGCGCTCACTGGACGACGATGCTCCAAATTACCCGTTGAGTAATAGGGAGAACACATGAATCGGAAGGTGCGAGAGAAACCTCTACCTTGCCCGAAGCGCGCATCTATCGAGTCGAGCTAACACGACTGTGTAAGGTGACTCTTCATTTTACCCAAGAACTTGTTCTCGCTCACGCATTCCTCCAATATCGCCAGCTGTTCGACGCTCGCGATTTCGTTTACCTCGCGATCGTAGGCCCTGACGATATCTGGAACGTCTGCCAAGAGTGTCGTGCGAGGTTCCCACGATTCGCTACCAGTTGGAAAATGATCCAGCAAACGCGGTAGTAATACGTTCTTAGAACGTGGTCTTGTAGGGCATGTGCGGTGCCACGACCGATCGGTGGCGGGTCCCTATGTTCCAGAATACGCTCAGCCAGCCAACGCCGACGCCGATTCCCGGCGCTATCAATCAGTGGCATAGCAGGTACGACGTGTCGCTTTCCTATTTGTTGATAAGTGGGTCGTGCTTGGAATTTGACAATCATTGTGTGACTGATGAGGTATCACACGCCACTTGTAAATGAGATGCTGTAGCAATTGAAAATTTTGACTGGACATATTGTAGCCATCTCTGTATGAATGCAACATAAAATCTATTTATCTATATCCTATGTCTTTTACATTAATGCATTTCATTTTTGGAACTTGAATTTGTCAAAAAGCTATTAAATCACAATGGACGTATGGTTCGTAACGACACAGTACCCAAAATATGGCGAACATCCTCCGTACGACACCGTGTTTCATCCTGCTATATCTTCAGTGACAAGTTCTTATACCATGCGTGTGCCATCTGTGTACCTTGTATGGGATTCGAAGCTTGGCGTCATCGCGTTACGTCGTCGGGAGCGACAATTAGCTATCAGTCGCTGTGGTTTTGTGTTAGCTGGTATATACTTTCGAATTGATCAAGCTACAGCAATGCAACTGCCTGTAGCACTCAAGATCATGGATCGTGCTCAAGTGTTACTTCAGAAAGACGACGTGGAGAGTGAGATTCGTATTATGAGTCAATTGCAGATGATCGGCATTGATGCGCCCCTGGCGAATAAGTACATGATCCGATGGGAATACGCTAGTGATGCTTATAATCAATACGTAGTAACCGAACATGTGGCCAATGGCAGCTTGCAAGCTTACGCTCATCGTCAGGTGCATCACTTGATGTTCCGACACTTGCACGAGTTTGCACAAATTCATGGGGTTGCTCCTACTAAATTAGAATGCATTTCCTATGTCTATCGAGGTTCGGGTCATGAGTGGATGAAGGAAGGGATAGATATTTTTGAGGAAATTATACGAGCCTTAACGTATTTACATGCACAGAATGTGGCGCATTTAGATCTGGATGTATACAATGTCGCGGTAGATGGACGAGCGTGTCCAAGAATAATTGACCTGGGCAGTGCACAGATTATGGATAATAGAGGTATGGTGGGTACCGGATATGTTAATATTAAGTGCAAGCCAGTATATGTGTCGCCAGAAGTGCGAGCGCAGCAGAGAATGACACCACCGAGACCAGGATTTCATGGCGCTGCGGCGGATATGTGGGCTGCAGGAGTTATTGTAAGTTTCTGCGTGATGTTTACTGTGCTCAATCGAAAACGTAGCTAAAATTTCTTGAATACGGAAATAGTTGGTGCAGTGTGTTGTGTGGGGATTTCGAGGTGGACCGACGTACCTTGTATCTAATACAAACTGGCGGAAGGATGTATTTAGCCATATTGATGCGACTTGCAGTCACATGACGTGTCATTTCTGTGTGAATTTCATTTCCGTTCCACCGCTCATAGGCGCTATCATTAAACAGTTGCTTCATGTGGACCCTATTCAGCGACCTTCAGCGTACGAGGTCGCAATAGCATTGCAGGAAAAACGTCACGTGCAATTGTTTCCTGTCCGCCCAAGAGTGAAAGGATAAACAAAGATAGCAGCATACAAACCGTGTTAGTGCAGACCAAGAGAAAACCACCGGTAAAACAACATCAAATTGGAGTTTGCGGTCAGTGCTGCCACCCTTTCCCCTTCTTCGCTTTGCTATGAGTACGGGAGATTGAGGGCGGCGCACTGGGGAGTGCTACCGACGTAGAGATGAAGAAGACAAGGTATGCCGGTGTGAGATATTCTGCTTTTGGCTACCAGACATCGCATTTGTAAAATCTTCGTACGACCACGAAAACTGGAAAAAATACATTGTTACAGGAGCAAAAGGTTAGCGTCATTTCTGATCCAGCTACCCAAGACAGTGTGAGGTTCACATGTACAATTTTTTATTGCCACACGAGGTAAGATTCCCTTTATTGTGCGTGGGTTTCACGCTCCAAAAATTGGGACGGTAGGTGAAAAGTAATAGAGTCGAGGATGACACGGGTTTCAGTTGGCTACAGAATGGAGCTATTACAGTGATATACTGTCAAAGACGATGAACCCAGTGGCTTTTTGGACGATACTGTGGAATGCATTCAACTCTGCGAGTACATGATTAGTGCTTCTGTTGTGAAAAGTGCCATGCAAAACGATGTTAGTCACTGCATCCAGAGCTTCATGGTCATGCTCAGCACGTCGTCAAGTGTGAAGTGCTAGTGAAAATGTCATGAATAAAAGTGACGCTACATTTGCGGCATCTTTTGGCCACTTGAAGTCATTATGCTATGAACGCAAAGTATTCGTTGAAGGTTTTCCGGGAATGAGATGTTGGACAGCTATAAGGTAAAAACATGTGCGGTTTGCAACAGCGGCCATCACGTAGAGTGACGGTCAATAAGCACGATACGGCTAATATGCATCTCGTTTGATAAGCCTGTCAGCGAACGTCTGTCTGTAAAAATGAGCTGCTGCAATAGCAAGGAAGAGCACGGCGCTTGGACAGTACTGCGGACCTCCTCTAGTATAGAATTTGTCTTCGTCTATTGTTTCTTGTATGAAAGTCCAGTAAGGTCTTGAGTCGATCACAGCAATGATGACATTCTAGCACTCGTCAATGTTCGACAATCGTTAGAAGAGCTTTCCAAACAATTAGTCACGATCACAAGACATCTGATCGGGGTCAGATTTGTACGAGGCTACGACGCAGATCTGCCAAGGATCAGAGCAAGTAAGCAAGCATTGACAATATTGGTCTTGGTCTTACACGACTGCTTACTATGATCATTGCTGGGTTTTCAAAGCCGGGAGATGTCATCTGATGCAGTCTAGGCTCCCAACTCTCATGTCACACAAAAGCTGATTCTGCAGTGATCGAGTTTGCAACATACGCAACTGCATCCGCTAGCAATAAGAAAGACGTACCGCGTTGTTGAGTGAGACGACACGTGCGAATTTGCAATGTCAGAAAGTGTTTTAGTAGATCCTGCGCATGACCTTCTTATGCGCGCTACATCACTACACGAAAGTTTTTGGAATCACTGATGACAGCAAAGAGCCTCGTTTTTGTCAGGGATGTGGACATACATACATATGTTGCTGAGGCTGTTGTCGCGTTGAGTGCTGCATTCTTGACCTTTGGACAGGCGATATTCCTTTTTTATATCTGTCATGGTTATAAGTTTAGCTAACAGTGAGTAATGCATGGAAAGTTGATAGAGCAGATTGCCAGTGACTAGTAAACAATCTTTTTAAGTTCAGACTTATAAGTAGTAGTCATGCATGTATCCATCAGTCTAGTGATGAGGATGCAAAGAGGCCCGATCGTGAAGGCGTCAGTACTTGGCCACGCAGTGTAACATAAATTTAATGCTTTTAGATAGCATGAATGGTAAGTATCGATTGCTTTACGTCATTGGCAGCAAGTTATTTTTTACGCTTGTTATCTATCTTGCTATTTGATCCCGATTCAGTCGCTCTGCATTGGCATGGACTTTATTTCATTCGAAAGTAACACAACAACACGCCTAAGAAGGATAAGTCCTTCCACGTGTTGTGTTACTTTCTAATCCAATCGCTAACAAATCCTTGCGTCAGTGGCGCTGTTGTGGTGTTGCTATTGTAGATCAGATCTCCAAGGATCAACCATTCGTACTGCCTGCAACTGATCAAACAAGCTGTAGCTTGGAGATCGAAGTCTACGGCAGCGTTAAACGCAGCCTCGAGAAAGCGGTGCACATGGAGCTTGGTAAATAATCTACTCCTAAGAACATTTAGCATTCACGGATGAGCCAAGTCTTTTCAGCGAAGTGGCGTATACGGAAAGTAGTTGGTATGGCTGAAGAAACGTGATACGATCTCGATCGTTTTAACATTAGGGTGGTTGTAAGTGTAGAACCTCTTAGCCACATTTGCTATCAAGAAGTCTCATTATCAGATCTTGAATGACTGACAGCTTCACGTGTTTAAATATGAGCTGCTCATAATTTTAGCATGTTCTTTGTTTGAAATTTACACTTGAGCGTTGCTACCGTAGCAACAATATCAAACATGCTGATACAATGCGTAAACACCGCAGCCAGCAACTCCAAGGTATTCCTATTGGGGCTCAAGTCAAATGACTTGGCTGATATTACCTTGCGCATTCTTTCGTAGCGGTAGACGACATTCTTTCGTAGCGGTAGACGAAGGCGTTGTCGTGAATACAAACTAAAATAGCTTGCATATGTATTCAGTATGTAGCTGTTCAAAATGAGCGAACAGCTGTCTAGGATGGAGCCGTCATAAGAAAAATCAGGCTACATATGGTGTTGAGCATTGCAATGAAGATGTGCATCCTTATTCCGTAAGCCTATAAAGACTCACGGGATCGTTCGCATTCTTTAACATTCTTATTTGCCACATTGAAAATCTGACATCTTACGTAGCAAAGTCGACAGTGCGATAATGGAAAGCCATCGTCTACAACAAGCGATCATTGAAGACTCACTGCCGATACGATATCGTCTTACTGGGCCCTTCGACATTAACGATGAAGACATCGATACAGTCCCCTCATCAAACGCTCAACCGAGGAGGCGGTCGACGAAACGCGTTGAGATTGCAGATTTCATGGCTCTCCCCTGGTTTGGATGGTTGTTCGTATCCACTTTTCAGCTTACCTGCTTTTCGGTCAGTCGATGCGTCGCTTTGAAGGCACTTGCCGCCATGTACGACAGTCCTCAATCTTACACGATAAGTTTCAAATTTGCCGCTTTGAGTCTTGGGTTCATGGAGGACTTCATCTGCACGATCTATTTGGTGTGCGCCTTGTGGCTGTTTGATACGTGCAAGCTTGCAATCATTGAACGGTGGAATTTTCCAAACCACGAGTCTCTCGCCCGGTTTGTTAAAAACGTAGCAACGTTTACAGTTTCGTGGGTTTTGTTTTTCATTGCGACAGCGCCGTTTGCCTTGGACATGCTTCTTGCCATCAATTGGAATTTGCGGTTCTCTATGGAGCTTGTGGCCACTTTAATCAGGGAGAAAGAAAATATCAAACGTGCCCCCCATAACAACTGAGGCGTACCTACGAGCCTACACGGCGTTAGCTCTTTTATTAAGTGCTGCTACAATTTTTGCGCTCATCAGGACATTTGCTAGCTGGGCGGATCTCGCTTGTTGGAACCCATCGCACTTGATAACGACCCGATCCAAGACTCAAGAAAGACATGCGCCTGGGAAGGTTTTCAAGCGCGCAAAATACAACAAGCTACCGCTTGAAGAAGGACAGGACGTGGCCGAGCACGGATCAATCCCCAAGCTGTCTTCAGTGAACGCAAGACGACCATACCGATATTTTATTTTGAATCATGCTATCCAAGTCACCGTTGTTTTGGTCGGTCTTGTTGTAATCCCCGCGACTATTGTGGCAGTACGTTATGCATTCTCACCAGTGGTGGCATACGTGGCGCTCAACGCGACAGTGAATGAGCTATTGGATCACGCACTACAGCCTTCTGCCGCAGGTGCTATGTTTACGAATGTGGATGGCAAACAACCATGGATGTCAAAGTTTATTCATCCAACTGAGACATACGAGCTTTTTGGAAATCATTCACTTTACCGTCGTACAACAGGGTTCCGTGGAGATCTCGCCTTTGACGTTAATGTCTCGAACGACAATCCGCCAAACGTTATTCTTGTTGTAATTGAGTCTTTCCGTTTCCAGGATTCGCGCTACATGGTGGGAAAGGACGACCCGTCCTACCTGTTTAAGGGCACAAATCTAACAATTACACCAAACTTTGACAGATGGGCAAAGCGCGGAGTTGCTCTTCGCAATTTCTGGTCAAGCTATCCTACAAGTCGTTCAGTGGAAAGCATTCAGTTTGGTCAGGTTCCGTATGACAGCATGACGACACCCGGTATTGCGGGAGATCGAAACGAAACAAAACTAGCTGGTCTGCCTCAGCTCTTTTCGGCTAAGGGGTATGAGACTTTTTTCAGTACTGGGAGTCGGATTACTATGGACAACTGGGATAAGTTTCTTCCGACGCATGGCTTTGATACCGTATGGGAACGGAAGACAATGGTAAGACTTGCCGAAATGCACCATAACATTTCCCGTGAGGATTGGAGACGCCCGGCGAAGCGAGAGTTCCGATGGGGTGTTCATGATGACTTGAGTTTTGATATTCTTGGTGATCTGCTCGTAAACAAGACAAACAGACAGAAAGAGCGAGTGGCCAGAGGTGAGCCTAAGAAGCCATTGTTCATCACGCATTATACCATCTCTTCTCACGATCCATTTACTCAGCTGCCTACATGGTACGTGAAGTCTGAGAAACCCGATTTTTCCGACCTTTACAACGGAGAGAACCGCGCAAAAAAGATTCAGAGCTATTATGAAGCGCGCTACTTCACTGATGTACAGCTTGGCAAGTTCTTAGACCGCATGGAGGCCCAGGGTATTCTTAACGACAGTATTGTTGTCGTTATGGGTGACCATGGCGCTGCACCTGAGGTTGAGTTTGTACGCAGTAGAGAGGAAGCCGTGACGCGAGTACCAGGCGTGATCATTGCAGAAGGGCGATTAGGAAAGGCTGCAGGAACGATGATCGAAGACGCGGCAGAACAGTACGATATTCTCAATACGCTGGCGGATATTACGGGTGTTCCAAAAGAAGGATTCATTCAAGATGGTGTTGGACGTTCCCTTAAGCGCAAGGTTGCGTTTGGCGAGCGTGTGGTCTATAGCAACTTGCCAGGTTACAGGATGTCTATTGTACGTGGCCATCTACGTCTGCGCTACGACAATATAATTGACACGATGTGGATGCACAATACTGAGAACGACCATGAGATGGCCGAAGATCTTTTTCCAACGCTTTCTTATCAACAACGAGCAGAATGGAATGTTATGCGTGCAAATGGTCGTCATATTGCTGCATACTACAAAAAGAGTTGGGACGACAATTGTTTGCTAGCTACTAGTTGCAACTAAACTCCCAACAACTCAGAAAGAAACTTAGACATAGCAATCACCAGCAGAAGCTTAACCGTTTTTTTTGTTTTCGTTCGACTCTGGGCCCTGTTAACTAGAAGACATCCAAGGGATCAAGCAAGAAACCACGCTGGACACCGCCGTTGGCTGGCCCCAGACCTGTACCTCCCTCGCCAATGTACACAGGATCGTGCAGTCTAGACGGCCTTCAGCGCGGCGCTTTATAGCTCGCGTCGCTTAATGGACCCTGGCAAGAGTAGAGAGAAATGTAGAGAAGGAGAGATAACCTCACGCATGCGGAAGTTGAGCCACGTGAAAAGTAATAGAGTCGAGAGGGTTTCAGTTGGCTACAGAATGGAGCTATTACAGTGATATACTGTCAAAGACGATGAACCCAGTGGCTTTTTGGACATATGTGAAATGCATTCAACTCTGCGAGTACATGATTAGTGCTTCTGTTGTGAAAAGTGCCATGCAAACGATGTTAGTCACTGCATCCAGAGCTTCATGGTCATGCTCAGCACGTCGTCAAGTGTGAAGTGCTAGTGAAAATGTCATGAATAAAAGTGACGCTACATTTGCGGCATCTTTTGGCCACTTGAAGTCATTATGCTATGAACGCAAAGTATTCGTTGAAGGTTTTCCGGGAATGAGATGTTGGACAGCTATAAGGTAAAAACATGTGCGGTTTGCAACAGCGGCCATCACGTAGAGTGACGGTCAATAAGCACGATACGGCTAATATGCATCTCGTTTGATAAGCCTGTCAGCGAACGTCTGTCTGTAAAACTAAGCTGCTGCAATAGCAAGGAAGAGCACGGCGCTTGGACAGTACTGCGGACCTCCTCTAGTATAGAGTTTGTCTTCGTCTATTGTTTTTTATATGAAAGTCCAGTAAGGTCTTGAGTCGATCACAGCAATGATGACATTCTGGTGGTTGTCGTGGATATGCCTATAGCAACTGTTCACAGCGTTTTCGTGTCGTAAGAGAGCTTGCCAGGCGCTAATACGACTGATCCCTGAACAATCTAGTCATCGTCACGAGTTGTCAGTCGAATTCAGTCGAACAAGGAAGAAAAGCGATGATCTAATTAATACTAGCGATGACTATGGCGGGCATTAAAGGCACTCAGCATGGATTGAACATTCCTTTACCAACATCTTGACAACTAATTCTATGCACATGGATGATTCTAGGACCACAGCTTGAAAGCATTCAAAAGCGCACAATGTCTCGATTTATAATAGCTCAACATTCAAAGTCGTTTAAGCAAGGAGATATCATTCGAAGGCAACCCTTACTCCTGATTACAGCAACTTCATTTAGACTTTGTGTGGACCCTTACAATTTCACGCTGCATTCATGATCAACTCAAAGTCCTTGGAGCTTGATGACCTTGGATCATGATTAATCCTTCACCAGATAAACAACATAACCACCAACTATTGCGACAGCAGCTATGATAGCTACTGGCTTCACTTGTGCTTTCGCAACAATTTTCAAAGCCTCGAGTTTCGTATATTCTGTTGCGGGATCCTTGAGTACCACAATCTTTACTTTATTGACTTCAGATTCCGTCGCTGTTATACTCTTGAGCTTTTCAGAAGTTGTTAACTTCTCTGCAATCTTGAAATCGGTGGCATCCACATGAGGTACTCTCTCTTCGAAATTTGATGCGGTTACGCTTGTCGTGCTACCTTTAAGATAGCGTTTCACGTTACTATCCTCCATGGAATTTATGTCTTGATTCTTGACTGGAACAAACGTGTCATCACTGTTGGCAAAATCGTTGCAGCAGGCAAGAATGATCATCACAGACAGCAGGCGCATGGCGAGAGTGACTTTACTCTTTTGACTGAAAAACAAATTTAAGAATGACATAGGATCATTTCGCGAATTACAAGTTCGAGAGTAGTGAAAGGCTTTGCAGGTTGGCAGCTCACCAATCAATGAGATGTACCTTGAATCTTGACCTGATCGCGCTGGATTCCTTATCAAGTCTCTATCAGTTTTACAGCAGCACTATCTAGAACTGCTGAGATGGCTCGCCACAAGTGGACACGCGAGAGTTCAATATCAGTGTAAATGAATCTTGTACAGGGCAAGACGAACTTCGTCTTTAATGTCAAGTCAGGCACCAAACCTTGCACATCTTGCATCATGAATCGCTAACCTTCATACAAAACTTTTAACGTTAATGAATTGAAAGACCAATCTAACTAACTCGCCCTGCACCTAATGCCAAGTTTAAGCATTAAACAAATTAGGAGCGTCGTCCACTGGACCAACGGCCACGGCCACCACGACCGTCACCACGACCGTAACCACGACCGTAACCACGGCCTCCACCAAAGCTCTGCGCACGCATTTGGTAAGCTGACTGCTGCAGCTTCGGTAGCGTCTTTGGAATAGAGTACGGGCAGAGTATGCCACCATCCTCAATCAGCTTCTCCAAGAGCTCAAGACCAGCAACCGGAAGGTCAAAGCAAGCACCCATGCAATCCTCCGTCAAAGTTAATTGCTTGATGTCGTTGGCAATGTTCTCAGGAATATCGCGGTTCAAAGCGTTCCAAACGTAGCCCTTAGCGCGGATAAAATTGGAGCTCGTGAACAAAACGGTCACGTAGTCAGGTACACCAGACATGAGCGAAGTGCGGCGAGGTGGCTTAGTGTGGCCCGTGATGCAAGCCAGCGCAGCCGCCAGGCACTTTTCAGGTTCCATGCTCTCAAGCAGCTCGCATGCTTTCTCTTGAAAAAGCTCAATCATGATAGGATCGACGTTGTCAATCTCCTTTAGCGCCTTGGCAGCTGATGCTTTGATCAAGTCTTCTTGATCAGGAGGTCCCTTCATCATGAACTTATTGCCAATCTTCCGCTCAATCTGATTCAGCTGGTCACGCTGGCGGTTTGTGTACAGTGTGATACAGACACCCTTTTTGCCAGCACGGCCCGTACGACCGGAACGATGAACGTATGTGTCGACGTCAGCCATACCCGACATCTTGCGGGGCGGCTCCGAGTTGATCACAAGGTCGACGTTCATGTCCAGACCACGAGCAGCAACATCCGTCGCAATTAGCAGACGTAGACGGCCTTCACGAAATGCTTTCATGGTCGTTTCACGCTGTTCCTGTGCAATGTCTCCATGCAGGACCTGGCTGTCAGTCTTAATCTCAGGATGCACCGCGAGCTCATTACAGTCCTTCTTTGTTTCTGCAAAGATGATTGTGCGCGAGTCTTTTTTAGCGTACACACCAAGTAAATTAGCCAGCAGCGTCGGTCGTCCCTGCCAGTGACACGGAATCGCAATGTGCTGCACATCCGTCGACGCCTGGTCGTCTGAGTCTTTCACCAAGTTCACAAACTCTGCCTTCTGCATATACTTGTCAGCCACATCCTTGACCCACTTAGGAATTGTTGCCGAAAACAAAAGTGTCTGCCGCCTGCTTGGGCTCTCGTTCTGCACTTGTTCCATGGCAGTGAATACCTTTTGCACGTCCTCACGGAATCCCATCTCCAGCATCGTATCAGCTTCATCCAAGATTAAGAACTCGCAATTGTGTAGACGAAGATTGCCACGATCAATGTGATCAATCACACGACCCGTCGTACCCACCAAAATATCGACACCGTTGCGGAATGCATTGTTCTGCGACTGGTAAGATGCACCACCATAAATGCACACTGTGCTTAAGGACGGTCCCGTTAATTCAAACTCGGACGCCACCTGTTTGGCCAGTTCACGGGTCGGGGCCATGCACACAACACGAGGTGCACGTCCGCGCGATCGTGGTCGCTTGTCCTTTAGTAGCATTTCAATCACTGGCAATGCAAAGGCCAGTGTCTTGCCCATACCAGTTCTAGCACGACCCATGAGATCCTTACCGGCCATAATTTTATCAAAAGTCATGGCCTGAATAGGAAAGAGCGTTTTGATACCTCGAGCTTGAAGGTTCTTTTTGGTTTCGTCACTAATGTCAAACGTCTCAAGTGGTGGACTCTCGGTCCCACCTACGTTTGTAGTCTTGATCTCCTTAGTCTTGAGTTTCTTCAATGATGATGCATCTACATCACTCTCTTCCGTGGTCTCACACACAAACTCCGTTTCGTTCTTTCCATCTTGATCACGACAACGTTTCTTGCCCTTTTTACTCTTCTTCTCCTTCTTCTCCTTCACATTAACGACCTCAGTTGCCTCAGCTTTTGCTTGTTTCTTGGCTAATTTCGCAATTTTCTTTGCTACTTTCTCTTCCTTACTACGTACAAGCTTTGCTTTGTTAGACACTACTCCCATGATATCAAAAACAACCAAGTAATGACTCTAATGGACAATGTCAAGAGAGAGACTGAGCACAATCATCGCTCTTTCCTTCCAACACCAGTCAATGAGTGGCTTGCGACGTCGTACGAGTCAGCCGCAAAATGATTGGTTAACCAGGGTTATGTACCATACTTAAGGTACACGATTTCACTCCCATCGAATCAATTCAATCTTTTTATCCAATCCAATACTTTGTTATATCATCTTCTATGTTGATTGGATAAAAACAGCCTCAATAACGTCTTCTCTTTTTTTTCCCATCCGAGAATTAATTCATTAAGCCGTCGCTCCCCGCCCCCTCCGCATTCGTCGCCGTCTCCGCTCTTTCTCTTCTTTTTACTCGTTCCTCTCAATGACGGAGCGCTGTGGCATTACACAAAGTGAAAGCTCAGCTACGTGGCCAAAAGGTGGTATGAATGATGGTAAAAGACCTCCACTTCCTACTTCTTTTCGTCCAGATAAACGCGGTCGTGCTATTATGAATGAGGAAAAAGTCGTTAATGTCACTAGTTCAAGTCCAAAACCATTGACTCAATCCTCTATGGATACAAATGAGACACCCGTGCCATTATTATTATCATCCTCTCTCTCTTCTTCTTCTTCTGTTTCTTCTGCTTCTTCATTACTTCACTGTGATTTACCACATTTAACAAGCTGGAGATCATCTACATCATCCATTGATAGTAATGTGAATAATGCATCTGGTGATGTTAATACAGGGACATATACACGAGTGTACTTGAAAGTAAAGACATTAAGTCGCTTAGGTGAGACCGTCCATTGTTCAGGCTCTTCTTTTATCATGGGACATTTTAATCCGAATGAAAGTATGACACTGGTAACAACACCGGAAGAATATCCTTATTGGACTACAATGAAACCCATGATTTTACCACGAGGAGTACCACATCAGTATATGTATGCACTTTTTTCAGGTGGAGTCTTTAGTTCATGGGAACAGATTGAATGTGAAAGAACCTTGATACCTGAAGGACGTGAAATGCTAGTGATTGAGGAATATGGACAATTTGATCAGGACATGGAACTTGTTCCCACAGGTGAACATATTGAACGAACACTTGTGTTTGAACGTCGGAAAAAGAAAAAATTAATATTGGTGGGACAACAACACATTTTGGACGAAATGAAGGATGATTCGAGTGAGGTCATGGAGGAAACAACATTCGATACAATAAGTGGTCAGGTTAAAGAGGATAACGGCGGAAGAAGTAACGTTTTCAAGTCTCCACGTAGCAGTATAACAGGCTCTCCTAGTCAGAGATTTCCACAGAAAAAGAAAATGCAGAGCAGGTACAGGAGGTATATGCCATCAAGCTATCGTCCGTCTCCTGAAGCAATATTGTTCTTGGTATGCTATCACTTACCGGTGAAACTTACGAAATCTCCGGAGAATGGATCCTGGTCAGCGAAGTGGAATCGTGATAGTTTAATTTCTAGGAGTGAAAACAGTATTGCAGAAAGTATGAGCACAACGTGGGTCGGCTGTGTGACATACCACGCCCGTAGTGATTATGAAGATCTTTCGGATGATGACAAGAGTGAGATTACGGCGATATTGGCGGAGATGCGCTGTATTCCCGTATTTATTGACCGTCAGCTAGCTGCGAACCACCATGGCGGATATTGCAAAAACAAGCTGTGGCCCATGTTTCACAATGTGGATATTTTGGATATTTACTACGCTATTTGGGACCGTGCAGAAGTGATTGAGTGGAAAGAGGAGCGCAATAATGGCGAGTGGTGGGATGCATACCAGACAGTGAACAGATTGTTGGCAAACCGTGTTAGTGAGTTGTGCAAGGAAAATGATACGGTGTGGGTTCACGACTATCATCTGCTGCTATTTCCGTCATATCTGGCCAACACATGCAGAAGCGAGAACCGCAAGCGACCTAAGATGGTGTTTTTCTTGCACGTACCTTTTCCCACGTCGGAGGTATTTCGAGAGCTTTCGCACGGCACGCAACTACTAGAAGGCGTGCTGGATGTAGACATTGTAGGATTTCACTCTTTTGATCACGCGCGCCACTTTCTCAATGCGTGCAAGCGCTTTCTGGGTCTCACGTATCAGTCTCGACGCGGCGGAAATCTGGGTGTTGACTACCATGGTCGCAATGTGATAATCACGATTAGCCACGTGGGTATAGAAACCACCCTTATTCGTGAGGTAATTAATAACCCTGAGGTGCAGGAGGCAGCACGTAAGCTGCGCGAGAAACATGCAGGCAAGCTTCTTATTGCAGGTGTTGATGTCTGTCAGCGGTTGAGTGGCATTCCGCTTAAAATGCTTGCGTTTGAACAGTTTTTTAGCAATTGTCCGACTTGGAAGGATAAACTTGTGTTTGTGGAGCGTGCAAATCTGGCAAAAACTCGATTAGGTGATCAAAATTATAGCAGTAATGAGATTCGCAAGCTTGTGGATCGGATCACCGAGGCTTACGGCCCGGAGTGCATCGACTACGAAGAGTCGTCCTCTCCATCGACTATAGAAGAACGTGTGGCGCTGTGGCTTGCCAGTGATATTTTGATGGTCACGTCTATCCGCGAAGGACTTAATCTGAAACCCTTAGAGTTTGTGTTTGCAAAGGGTGTGAACCCTACAGATCGACCGGGCGTTGTTATACTAAGTGAGTTTTCGGCATGCTGCTGCGTCTTAAACGGTGCCGTGCGAGTTAATCCGTGGAACATCACGGGCCTTGTGAACTCTTTGGATCATGCATTGACAATGAGCGACGAGGAGCGGCTTGGGCGTCGTGCACGAGATCTACCGTACATTACTAGCCAACCCGCTGCAAACTGGACGAAACAAGTGCTGTCCGTTCTCCATGAAGTTACTGACAACCCAGAGGGTGACGAGGAGTACACGAATATGGAATACATGGATACGGAGATTGGTCGCTCTCACATATTACGTGTTGGCGATCGATCTGACTTCAAGCATTTGAACATTGAAAAGGTCATGGCAGCATATATGCAGTCGAAGCGACGTGTGTTCCTACTTGACTACGGTGGCACCATCATTGCGCGTGAGAATATCGCAATGTATGTAAAGAAGGACTTTACAGCTGTGACGGGTAAACAGCCGTCTCCACTTATGAAGGAAGCACTGACAAAACTGACGAATGATCCGCGAAATACAGTGTTTGTCGTGAGTGGCGTGACTAAGTCAAACTTAAGTGCGTCGCTTGGACATATTCGTGGTCTTGGTCTTGTATCTGACAATGGAGCCCTGTACTCGTGGGCTCGATCCATCAACATTGATAGCGTCGAGGACACAAATTTGCAGGACGACATCGACTCGACCGGTCGTCACTGGTACCAACACAAATTTAAATTTGATTGGGGCCCGGTCCGTGAGGCAGTTGATCCGATTCTAAAGGTATACTGTACACGCACAAATGGTAGCGTATTGCGTTATACGCAGCAGAGTATTGCGTGGAACTTTCGCTCAACTGACCCGGAGTGGGGTCTGTTGCAAGCAAATTCGCTGCAGATGGATTTAGAGGATGTGATTCGCGACCTCCCGGTAAATATAATTCGCAAGAAGGGTCTGCTGGAGATTGTCCCGGAAGGTTTGAACAAGGGTGTGGTGGCCAGACAGATCTTGACTCGGGATGCGAGTATCAGCCATAGTCATCCCGATTTTCTCTTCTGCATTGGCGACGACACAACAGATGAAAACATGTTCAAGGCTATTTACGACTACTACGCAGAGCGAACGGAAGAGAGTATGCATGGGCGGCCTGGCAACAATACCTATGATGATTTGGTCGCTGCAGGCGATGAAGGTCCGCTTCACCACGTGTTTACATGCACAGTGGGCAAGAAGCCTAGCAACGCACATTTATATGTCAACAATGTGGAAGAGGTTCAACAGCTTTTACAAGCGTTGGGCAAGGCATCAAGTGAGGTGCGTAATACCTATTGCAACATTATCGTGTTTTGTAGCGTTGTTTTGATTCATAAGTTGGTTGTTTGATCCATTGTGTAGGAAACTTTGTGAGCCCGAGTATTCAAGCTGCAAATAATCATTTGGTGGTATATATCGCATTGAATAGTAGAGAGAGCACTTTGAAGTAGGAGATGACGGTGATGATGTATGCAAAGCTTGACAAGTAGAGCTAAGAAAAAGTCAAAATTGCTTCAACTTGAACAGTCTTTTTGTAAGAGCTTAAATTGATTTTTTTGACAGCTTCCAATGACGACTTTAGAACAAGACAAGATGGTGTCGAAATATGGTCATGACGCAAACGAAAAGAAGCAAACGACGGTTTTCATACCTACAACCGTATCCAATCAGTTTGCTACCCTTTCTAGCGAGAAGACATCACTTCCGTCTCCTACGCCACGTCGCTCCGTGTCCAGAGAGATGCTCGAGCAGATGTCTGGCCTTGAAAATAACGTATGTCTACTCCGACTTGCGGCAAAGGTTTCGTGGATTTTTACACTAAAGCCTGTTGTTTTCTTACTGTAATGCCTTTCCTTCTTCATTACAGACACGATACCATAAAGTGACCATCGTCAAACCTTTTGGGTGCTTTTATCTGATGCAACTGATTGAAAAGTCTACTCAAGTAGGTGCATTCTTTTCACCAAAGTTGTTTCTACCCAAGGATATTTGGCAACAAGATCAAGTCAAATTGGCTGGCATTCCACTTAAAATGGAGATTTTTCATCACCTGAAACAAAAACTTGAAAAGATCAGTGTAAGGACTTGAAAAAGCTGTTGGAAGATTCGTGCAGACTCAAGCTGATTCATTTTTGTTATGCCGTCTTTGTTAACGGTGGCATTTCTTTAGCACGCGTTGCCATTGTCATCCGATATGGCAAAAGCTACTTTTATCAATGAATTGGATGCGTTGCTGGACTTTACACGACAGGAGCGCGTGCAGTTGATCCGGTCTTTTCCTTTTTTACCTCAGGACAAGATCAATGCTGCCGTACAAGTGATGCGGAGAGATAGTAGTAGTCATGAGGTTGGTTAAGACAGGGGACAAAAAATTAGAAGCACTGTGAGTGGTTCTATGGTGCTGATATTCTACGCTTTATAGGCGGAAGAAGGATCGGTTGATGCGTACTCATCGGGTATTGGCAAGCTAACAAATCTAGCATTTGGATTTGGACGCATGGTCAAAAAGCAGGCTATTGCTGCAGTAGAACGTGTTGGAGCTGCGCCATTCGTTTCAGTGTACGTACCGAGTGGACGATATTGTGTGTACTTACTTCCAAAGTATATGGGAGCCAACTTTGTTGCGGTTGTGACTAGTTCAATTGATGAGTTGGAAAAGTATGCTGCAGTGCTCTGTATGTTCTTCAACTCCACACGAAGCATTGGTATGAAAGTACAGTAATAGTCAAATGTAAATGGGTTATGGCTAACTACGCTTGGTGAATAAACTGTTGGCGCAGAAAACCTTCTCGGGCTACGAGCAGACGTCGATGGTACTCGAGAACCAGTCAACAATCCCAAGGTGGTAACAGATAGCTCGCAATTGGACTCTGCTACTTTAAAGAAGTTAGAAGATCTTGGTAAGAAGTTTGGTACCCTTCATCTCCAAATGTCCTCATCTTAATGTACTTGTTAACTATGTAGCGATTTTCCTGGACGAAGTCGTCATCGAGCTTGTAATGCGTGACATTCACAGCCTTTTGGAGGTCTATCTGCAACGGCTGACAAGGCAGTTTGGCGAGTTTACAGTTGAGCAGGCTGCGATGAAGCGCCAACCATCTGTGTCGGCACCGTAGCTTGCTTTGCTATGCGGTATCACTTCTGCCGATGAACATTACTTTGACGCCGTTAGTCGATTCATACAGCTTGTGCTTTGCCACTTGTCGTACCATTTTGTTCCGTGCACGTTGCTATCCATGTTCGTAACAACAATGGTTGTGTAGCGCTAGTTTCTCCCGGCTAACAACCTTCTCGACAACTACAGCATATTGTACACAGCATCTGAAAACATTTTTTAAACCTTAAATCAATGCATGACGCTAGACAGATATCCTTGACGGCGCATGATCCAGATTGAGGACAGGAACTACAATGCTAAAGTACCAATGTTGCATGTACTTCAGCCTCGAAACGCTTTTGATCCAATAGTACAATCTGAAGAAAAACACTCGCAGACGACACGAAACAACGGCAGCGCACCTGACACTTGATTTTGGTGGTAGTTCGAAAGCAATAGCGCAACGTTAGCTTCCTTACATGCACTGTCGGACAGTACGGTATAGCGGCAGATAAGTTGCTCGTTCTTAATCGTTCCGGGTAGTGTTATGTGGTTAGTGTTCCTACTGACGCGTTATAAACATAATTTGAAACAGTCTCGAGCTGTCGAAACTGTCCATTGTTCGACAAGTATATTCCAAGCTGGGTTACATATCCACTTATGCCGCCAATAGTGATCAATCGTCCCAGTCCGAGTCGTCCGACGAGGACTGGTCCCAGTCAATGTCGTTAAATCCATCTTTCCTTAACTTTGTCGCTGCTGACGTCTGTCGAGGTTGAGCTGCAGCGATAGTACTTGCAACACTACTCGGACGTCGTGCTGCTGAAAGCCTTTGTAGCGACTTTTGTGCGGTGTTCCGAGTGCAATGCTGACACATTCCGTTTGCTTGAAGCAATCGAAAACCCCATCCACCACATACTGAGCACCTCAATCGCATCTGAGCAGAATCCACAATGAAGGCAAGGCGCAGCCGGTTGCAGTGCGCGCAGACACCATTCTTTTCTACCAACCCGACACCAGTGCCTTTGCAGCAATCGCATGTGCTTGATTCTAGACCAGATCGTATGCCACCAAAATTCACGTCATATCCATAAGCGTTTGCTAGCGTTAAGTCTGTACCGTATGTTGTTAACGCCAAAGCCGCTGCCACCCCGTCCGTCGAATGTGGAGGAGTTGGCGGCAGCGACTGGTATCCTGTCGGCAGCGATTGGTATCCTGATGGCAGCGATTGGTATCCTGATGGCAGCGATTGGTATGCTGACGGCAGCGATTGGTATGCTGACGGCAGCGATTGGTATCCTGGCGGCACTATAACTGGAGGATACAAGGGCAAAGGCATAGAATATGGTTGCATATACGGATAGTAATATCCGCACGACGAGGGTGGAGGTGACATCATCATGTATGGATATGGTGCATTCATTTCTCCTCTGAGAGGTGGCTGTCCAGCAAGTGGCTGCTCACTCGTAGGAGAGCCATCAGCGCGGACAAATCCAAGTGTCGGGCCGTTTCTGCTGTCCGTGTGTGGCTCTGAAGATTTTGCTGGCTGTGCGTCATCTTGATCGCCGGTTTGATTCAGGTTTTGGGCAGCTAGTGCTGCTTTCATTGTTTTCATTCGGCGACGTTCACGCCGCAGTTGCTTCTCGCTCACTTTTGCATCCTCATCAACATCGATGGTGCTAGTAGAACAAGTCTGAAAATCCTCATTTAGCTCATTCAAACTAGACGTTGACTTAGGTCGTGGAAATTCTGATGTTTCTGATCTCAATGTTGATGCGACCAGCATATCCTTCTTACGTTGTTTTTGCACGCTTCGTTCATCACGCTTTTCATCTTGTACAGTATCAGCATTTACCCCAGTCCTCGCGTTTAGCCTATCATTCGCTGGAAGATGGTCGTCTTCCACACTTTTGACGTGCTTCATCGGCTGCTTATTTACACCGGTGCCATGCTTGTTTCCCTGGCTTTGACTATTCCGAGTATGCTTCGCGCGTTCTGGCAAAGATACATCCAAATTCTTGTCATCCTGATATACAGAATTTCCGACAGCGCTGAAGTGATTTTGTACATGTCCATAAGCACTCGCTCTATGACAGTCAGACAGCGGACTAGCATTTCGGTCGCTGACCTCGTCATCCTCTTCCTGCTTCTCCGTCTTTTTTTCCTTATTCCTCTGTTTCTTTCTGTTTTCGATTTCCTGTTCCTGTTTGCGACGCTCTAACTTTAGCTGCTCTGCATGCTCCTGCTCTCGTTGCTCTTCTCTCTCCGTAGCGACCTGAATTTGACGTTTTTTTCTCTCTATTTCCTGTTTTTTCGCTTCCAGTTCCATTTCCATCTGTTTCCGTTTCCGTTCTTCTTCCGCCTTCTCCTGCTTTTCCCAACTCACTATCTTTTCATCGTCTTCATGTCCTTCTTTTCTCCTAACTATGACACCCTTTTTCTTCATATTGTTAGCCACCTCTGTCATAAAATCGTCTCCTGTAAGACTTTCCCTCTTAGACATCATATTTTCTTGTCTCTTTCTTCTTAAAAAGCGGAGTCGCTCTGCTGCACTCATTCCTGCTGTTTCAGCCTCGTACTGATCTTCAAGTGACACAATTAATGACGTCTTTATTTCCTTGACTGTACTACTTCCTGTAATGTCCGACACGCCGTCTCGTTGAAGATTCAACATGGGAGGTCGACCTATCTGAATAGTCCCAAGTTTTTCTCCTAGTGACGCTTGAAGCTTTAAAACCATGACGTTAGATGGTTTCGTAACAATTTTCTCGGTCTTTTGCTCGTCATTCTTCTTCTTCTTCTTTCTCCTCTTGCTCTTGTCATTAATAATATGCTCGGACCTCATGACAGGGTCATCTTGATCGAATACGCAAGTAGTGTCATTATGTGACCCATACATAGATTTCGACGATACGGCCTTCTTCTCTTTAAAAGGATATTCCCACTTACTCTCCTTTGTATCGGAGTTATAATAGTACAAATGACCTTCAGGGGACGTAAATTGTTCCCACCCGTCTTTTAGCATGGACATGTGGCGGATGTCGTCGTCATGACGCGCTTTTCTTGGGGGGTTTACCATCGAGGATGTTAATCCGACCCGTACTTAGTAACTTCTAGGCGTACTTTATGGTGTATTGTTATTGTTGAATTGCGATTGTTTGAGGTAACGCGAATGTTGTTTAATATTCATGTCTACGTTTGAAAAAGAATCTTGTATTTTAGCAAAAATGTAAGATTAATGAAAGGGTGATACATTTTAATGGATAAACCTTCATTTTGGTTTCAGCTGTAATAAATTGTCATAGGTCAAAAGCATTTGCTAAATCACAGTCGCTTGAGGCTTTTCTTCTTGTTTGCCTTCTTCATCTCCTTACGAAAAGCTTCACCATCGATTTCATTCTTCTGTTTCTTCACCACCAATGTCGAAAAAGCCGTATCCTTCCTGTCCTCCAAGCTTGCAGTAGCAGCATCAGCTGATCGCTTGTATCGGTAGCCTTTACCATTTCGATCATAACCACAGTTTTTCTTTTTTTCCTCTCCACTCGTCGTCTCTGCAATTTCTTCAATCGCAACAGCTGATCGTTTCGGTGCATGAATGTTTGTCCATAGCTTTGCACGACGTGCATATTCTTCATAACTATCCATAAACAGCTTTCCAGCCTCATCGTTTAAAGAGGACTCGGGGAACGGGACAATCAGCAAACAGCGTACTACTTGCAGCACATGAGCAATTCCAAGTGTCGGCAGCCAGTCTTTTTTAGCGTATTGACACAAATGTCTCCCGCCGGCTGTGATACATTAGGGTGGAAGATCTTGGTCAGAAACATTCCACGCGGTGGCTGCTCCGGAAAACTCTCGGTAAGCGTAAGCTTTACCGTAAAATAGCCATTTTCGTAGGGGGTGTCCTCTGGCCCACGAATTTCGGCGTGGATCTCACTGAGATACTCCTCTTCCTGCGGAAGGTACTTTATACCATTTAAAGGCTTTATAACTAGCTTTTGAAGCTCACGAGCTACACGTTGAGCAACTTGTGGAGGCAGGTTTTCTCGTGTCAGCTAGGCAAAAAGATAACAGCAATGTCATTGTATTCAGTGTATAGATATATTCTAGATATTCTGAAACGTTCAAGTATAATCGAAGAAAGACTAGAGACTAGGATATTTGGTAGATGTGCATTTACCATTAAGAGCGGTGTATATGGACAAACGTGCCGTCTTTCGCGGTAAAATTATTTAAATGCTATAGTGTGGAACACATTAGATTAAAACAAAGGTTGATACTGCACTATTCAAATTGGAACATGAAAAGACGTAGGTATTTTTGATACATCGCTTAATTACGGCCTATTTTAAATACTAAAACGACAGCCGATGCAGTTTCCTTCAGAAATCGTTGAATACTCTTCAGATGTCAACAGAAGCGAAAATAAGCCTCGTTGGGACGAGCGTATACCGTCGTACATGCACAAAACCATCTAGCTAGAATAACTATCAAGGAATAGAAGAACGAGGAAATGTCCAACATTGCGTACTGAGACTGACCTACAATTACAATATCTCAGAGCTTCCTTCCTGTTGCAGGTTAAATGAATGACTCATGGCATGTTACTCGAAATAAAAACTGAAGAACGAGTTGTCGTAAAGGCAGCTACATCGACGGGTTTACATAATGCTGCAACGACGCTCATCACCCTCCTCGACAAATCGTTCGATGTCTTCATCCGTGATCTTGCCTGGCTTCATATTTTTCGGAAACAAGTCCTTTGCAAACACGCCTTCCATGTCAGAACGGAGATAAAAAAGCAAATAGGCTGACGGGCTGACCACCTGCTGTTCCTCAACAACACGAACACGCTCGTCATCGTAATAATACCACTGGTCATCGACAAAGTTCTTCGCGTACGCCGTATAGTGGCCCCCACCGAGAGCGCCCTGGTGGTTCACGACGCCGTACAGATTATACTTGGTTTCGAGACAGCGTGACTGATCTAAGTTTGAGTTTGTGTATCCACGACGCACACGATTGCGTACCGCTGCTGCTTGGACTGCAGCCCCACGCTGGCTATCAGTAGTTAACGTCATGTCGGTAGATGCGTTAATACCTGCTCTATCAACAGCCGCACCTTCCGCCGGTTCTACTGGTAGCTCGCTGTCACCAGATTTCCTTCCTGCTCCACTTTCTTCCGTTTTTTCTGCTGGCAAATCGCCAGCCTTATTGCTACCAGAATCAGCAGCGTCAGTTGTCGTGTCATTAGCTGCAGATATCTGAGAAACAGACGGGGTAAGTCCATTGCTAATGTTACTCCCACCACGAGATCTGAGCTTCATCAGTTTTCGTGCAGGGGCCGATACTCCACTCAATTTGCCTCTAAGTCTTTTCATTGGATATTTCTCCGGAATTTCAATATGCGGAGCCACACAAGTCGAAAGATCCAATTTATGGATAGGGAACTCCACAAGCGATGCTAACTTCCGGCGATAGGTCTGTGTGTACTGAAAGCGCTTCAGATGCACCACCATGACTGGTGGCAGACGCCAGATCTCAAGCTTCTTTGTCATTTCCTGGTGTTTTCTGCAGCTGGAGCAGTAGCCTTCGCTAATCTTCTCTTCACTTGTAAATGCATCCAAGCAATGTTTCAGTGGAACAGGACCCTTATCAATTGCCTCATTCCGTGCAACGCTGTCATGGTTCTCAATTTGCTTCATTTTATCAATCATCTCGCGGTCCTGAAAAACACTTAAATCCCAATCAATCGCAATGGCTTCTTCCTCCAAAACATCAAGAGGGTCTGACGTGCATGGGATCGTGAAACCAAAGCTCCGTGTCAGCCATGATGATCGCGAATCTGTTAGTCCCTTATTTTCAACACGGCGCAGCAGAAATCCACACTTTGAGCTGAAGCATACAGATGCGCTGTCGAGACCTGCAAAAACGCTATCAATATGATTAGCAACCAGGCGGTCGGCGTTTTGCGCGTCTTCGCCAACCCATTCGGTCGGAGGAGTTGCATTTGAGCCTACATATTGCTTCACACGTTCCCACACCAATTGATACAGATGGAGACCACTAGTAAGCTCAGGACAGAGCCGTACAAGATTTGGTGAACCGAAGGGAACAGGCCTGAATGGGTTCTTAAAATACACAGCCGAGTAGCTCAGCTTACGCGAAAGCAAAGGGATGTACAGCAATCGTGCTTGGCGAGACCGCAATCTGTTGATAGGAACCCTGAGCTCATCCTGTGTACGACGAAGGCGGACGAGCACAAGCGGTTGATCATCGTACTCAGCGTTTGGTGAGGGTGGTTCCACGACGACTGCCGGAATGTACTCGTAGGATTGCGTTCGCATGCGCACATCAACTAACGTTCCCTTGTCCAGCTTCTCATAGAAGGACGAGTGGTCAGCTTCATCTTGGCGTAATCCACTTGCTCCTATTCCTTGAACGTATGATGGACGACGATGCCGCGTAGCCTGAATTATTTCCGCATCAAGCGGTTCCAATTGGAATGCGATAAGCCGATCAATACTGCGGATTTGACCCACGCGGCGATTATCGGCCTTAAAGCTTGATATCATCGATCCATTAAACTCACACAATTTAATATCACTCTCGGATACGTCGGGCAGATTAAACTCATCGTGGCACATTTTCATTAGCTCATGCTTCAGGTCAAAGATGGTCGCTGAAACGCTTAAGCGTACTGACACCTTCATTGGAGTAATCCCATTGGCAAGCATCAGCAGCACCGTTACCGTGTTATGTTTGGGTTCGGGCAGCGGGATTTGCAAGAAAGTGAAAGGCTCAAAGCGTGCTGATTTAAAGCCACATACACTACATGTGAGCAGTGATTTGTACTGTCCTGTAAACAAAGCAACAATGATCGATACTTCGCGCCGGAGATGATTCCGCCACCATTCATCGGCAAGATCTGCATCATAGCGACCGTCGCTATCCGGCTGCTCAATAAAAGGCTTGTCTTGAATACGGTTTAAGTCCTCACTTAGTCCGCTCAGCAGAAATGCGAGTAGTTCCTGTGCGTCTTGCTGATCATTGCCACGAAACGCCTCGTTGAATTTGCCGATGGACTTCTTAAAGTTTCTCGGAGAAATTGATTTCTGTTTCACACACCACATGTCTTCAGCAAGCTTGCCGTACACTTCCGCTAGCTTCCCTTGCAGTCCTAGCGTACTGGTACGGTTAATATCCTCCAAGTACATGCCTGACACGAAGTATTCAGCCAACAACTTCGTGTTCGTAAGGCACTGTAGAGCTGAATTCATGTAACATGTGTTGCCGAGATTTGCGAGCCCAACCGAACCACCCGAACGCATTCGGCGAGGTAGAGCAAACTCCTGCTTCCAACGAGTTTCCTCTTCAGATGGTACTGAAGACAAGTCGTCTTCTACAACATCAGGCACCTCCTCTTCGTCATCTTGCTCTTTCCCCTTTAGCTTCTTTATAGACTTTTTTTTCTTCGTGTCAGCCTCCCAAATATCCAGCACTGGGTCACCATTCGCCGCAACTGCCACCTGTCGCTGAATCTCTGGACCGCCACCGTACCATAATTTTAGTGCCATCCACAGTTGCTCGCAGATAATGACGTAGTGACGGCCTAGCTTAATATCATCAGGCGGCTTGAGTACCCGGTCGCGACGATCGCTCGTGAGGAGAGGGTAATTGTTAATGCACTTCGGGCGGGTAATCTCTCCCTTCAGGTTTTTCATGTAGTTGTCTCTGTTGCCAGTATTACTACCACTAACCTGTACCTTCGACGTACTAGGAGTAGAAGTTGCGGCAATAGTAGAGCTCGTAACAGGAGACGAGAGCAGTAAAGACTCCTTCACATGAATCTTAATGTACCTGCACCAATGTATATACCATTTTCGCTCAATCAGGTACCACCGGTCATCCTCCACCAGTGTGGTGGGGTCGTACGGGGTATAGCACCCTGTCGCAATCAGCAGTTCCTCCTCCTTAGTGGCCGGAACCAAACCAAGATCAATGAACGCTACCTCGCGCATTATTCGCAACGTCGCCATCTCATATTTTTGCTTAATCGCCCATGCTGTGAACTCACCTAATGTTAATGTTAGGGTCTCAGCCTTCGTCGACGATGAACCCGCATCCAAAATGCTTCTTCTGTGTCCAAAGCTCTTCATAATGCCGTTCACAAAAATACCCAGTTCAGACCCTGACACTGACGGAGTTCTCGGGCCCATACTCTCGATCAATGATGATGATGACGAACTCTTCGTAGCATTCAGCAATGGGTGCTTCTTTTCAATTAGAGTTGTGATCTGGCTCTCTAGGTCTTGATTCTGCGTTATGTCCAGTCGAAGCATACCATAAATATCCTCACGGGTCATATACGAACCATCAGCAACGCTAGCAAATAGCTTGAACGCGAATTCAGCCTTTTCCTCAATGCTACCTCGGCAAGCAGTCGACAATGCACTCACAAAGCTGAACACATCAATATCGGCACCGTTCGCGCGCGAGCCAAAGCAAGAAAAAACGCGACAAAACCGCTCGTCAGACATCTCAAGAGGAAAATCACTGGTTAGTGCATCCACATCCACCGCATCGCCGCCTCCAGAGGCACGGTAATTATTGAAAGCATCCTGGAGAACGGCTACCTCCTTGGCGTTAAAGTGCGTCTCATTGGCAAGTATTTTTTGCTGTACTGCTGGATTGAATTCCTCCTGAGATTCCAGCAGCTGCGGATCGGCCGTCTCGCATAGGATATCGGCAAAAGGCGCCATCCAATCTACAAGAGTGTGGTGTGCTTTAATTTTTAACACAGTCTTAATAAAATCATCACAGCTCATGCGCACACGGCCCTGATCGAAACCTTCGCTTAATAGACGACGAAACTCCGGTTGATCGAGCACATGTCGCCCCTGTAGTGATACCAGAAAATTACTAAGCCCCGAACTTTGTACTTTGCCTGCGTGGTCAAGATCGCACATGTTAAAGACAAAGTAAAGCTGATCTTCCAAGGTACCACAGCGCAAGATTGCTACAGCACGGAGGAATTCGTCCATATTAATATCAGAGCCTTGACGGTCCGATACAGCTTTCATAAAACGCATCGCAAAGCTTGATGGCATATCAGGAAAAACACCAAGAATGTCTCTCCGAAATGAAGCGCGGCTAATACAAATCTGCGATCCTGCCGTATGCATAATAACACTATAGCGGTTTCCGCTTTCATCTGTAGTGATTCCTTTTGCAGACTCTCCAGCGATAGCTGATGTCGTCGTCGTGACATCCTTGACCGGCGAAGTTGGCAGTCGTCCACTCGGGGGGTCCTGACGAATTTGGCGCCGCACTACCTGTAGAGTTACGCAAACTATCAGCTTCTATCTTATGTCCACTAGAGGTACTTCCATGATATAAATATTTGGAGGAGCAAAGCCGCTTAAAAGCCGTCGAAAAATCCTCAAGCGTTTCAGGTGGTAGCATATTCTTCATTCTCTCTGATTCAAGTTCTTTCTTGTGTCGTTGCAACTTGCGTTCGTACGACTCCATGTGTGCATATACTTCCAAAAAATTAAACAACGGCACCCGGATAAGGGGCCGAATGTCCAGTACTTCATTAATATACTTTTCCAGTTCGCTTCGCCGCTGCTCCACAACACTTTGATGGCGGTTACGAAACACATGACGTTTTGGAAAGTATAGTTGCTTTACAGAAGAGTTGGTCCTCTTGAGTCTCTCATGAAGCTCTCGAAAATCCGAGTATCGCTTGCATAAAAGCCATTGCAGTCCTCCTTGCAATTTCACTTCGACTGAAAACACAGTATGCGTCGTCTTGTCAATCTCAGCTTCGGTGACGCCATCGGTGGGCAGTATCACACTCTCAATCTCAAATGAAGGTGCAGAACCGGACGACGGACTTGAGTAAGCAGACTCAACAGGTTGTCTTTCTCTTGATCGAAGACCTATTAATTCATTGGAAGTATGGGACCTTTCTAACGTCGGGATAGTGCGAGAGCTGCCAGCTTTTGGAGGCAGTTGCTGGGGCACAGTGTCCTCACCTGACGCGGATTCCTGTTGCTCTACTGTAACGCTTAATGCGTCATTGACTACACGAGCGGAGGACGTAGTAGACGACGTCGGGGATGGCGATATAGTAGCCTCTACTAGCGTCGAGGCGCTGGGAGCGGAAGACGCATTCTCCCCATTAGTGTCACGTAAACTAAGCTCCGAGACCAAGTCAAGCGGCACAACATTCTCCTTTACGTCCTCCTCGGCGACAGAGGCCACGCACGCGCTATTGGTGTCACTGTCGCTGATAGTCGTGGCGTCGTCTCGACACAGAGCCAAGTCATACGCGGGCAAGGTCAAGGACTTGCGCAGCGTGACGACGGGCGTTGGCTCCGTCGCCGAGGTTTCCTCCATTCTAATGAGAGGCAGAAGCCCTTGAAAAATCAAGTGCGTCCCCAGTGCGGAATGCAGGAGTGATGGTCGTGCGAGTTGAGGCTGTATGCTCGCACAGGGTCGTGTGTGTGCGTTGTGTTTATTTGCTGTTGTTTGGTCGTTAATAAGGGCTCCTATTTAAGGTATAACACATACAAGCCTATTAAATAGCATACTTGAAAAAGTGAGACAGAAATGGAATCTTTCGATGATGCGAAGATAGAGAGAGCAGCTCAATGTATCGATGAAAAATTGCCTATGGTGCAAATGAAACATACTAAATACGTATGAATGATACAAGCACAAACGTGTTGGGAGTTGTTGAACGGACACAAGTTGTCCGAATACAACTTGCAATTTAAATATGCTGTTTAAAAGGCTATTATTCTGCCTCGGTTCTCTGACAGATGGCAAGTGGCAGATGGGGATAATAATATTTGTTGAAGTTGCAAGGAAGAGGTTACAGGTCCTCGTTACTATCAGTATCAAAGCTTGATAATTCCAACAGCCGTTTAGCACGATACAGTAGATTGACGCGGTCTTCTTCGATACTTTCGTTTTCCTCACTGGTGTCCAGAATATCGAACAATCCATCGACACTTTCGTGCTCGTCCTTCTCGTTATCGCTGAAATCATCAAAGCAAATCCCAAGTCTCTTTTCAAGCTCGGCAATTGGCCGTTGCAAAGGAGCCATCACGGTCAAGTCATTTGCGTTTCCCTTGCTGTCACTGTCGCAGCTCTCAACAACATCATCGACAGGCGCAACATCTTGCTCAGCACCGGCATTAGAATCAATACGATTGGAATTCAGACGTGGAATGTATGCAAGCTCCACCGCTTTTGAGTCTTCTTCTGTGGTGGATTCAAGTACGGACAGCTTGTCGTTATTCGCAAGCGTACAGACTTTGCTATCTTGCGAAATAAACATAGGCTCGAGTCCCTCCTGTGATCGTGGTAGGTTCGAAAGAGCTCGAGGCGTAAAAGTGGTGTCTTCATTTTTCACTGAAAGCTGAAGCGGAAATTGAACCTCTTCTTCTTGAGCCTGGGTGATCTCGCGGGCAGCTTGTGGTGCAATATTTGCTTCCAGGTGCTCCTGTGAGACCGTTTGCGTGGCGTGTGGTGTCCTTATTGCCTTGCTCTCCACCTCTGAGAGACCAAGGGCGGCTTGTAGAGACGACTGTTTACCGCTTGGACGGGTAATACATCCTGCGGCATATCGGTCCTGACTTTTCACTTCTTCTGTCATCCTGACACCTCTCATCGTTTCAATGCTGTGAGTAGAACTGACCTCGTCAACAGCAACTTCATCTCGTATGAGACTCTCCATACTACCATCGCTGCTGTGACTACTGATTCTGCTACTAAAATTGCAAAGAGTCTTTTCGACTAAACTCGCTTTTGCCATCCCTTTTCGCAAAGAAACGCTTGCCAAGCTCATACTGAGCGGTCTTTCCACAGGCGTATGAACGGCAAACTCATAGGCTTTAGTTCTCGGTAGCGGTTCATGTCCTTCAAGGGCGTTACCATGAAGTTCGTCACCAGCAGGGGCGTTTCGTCGACAGTGTGATTTTCTTTCCCTGTTTGAATGCGAGGCATCATCACGATTATGATGATCGTGGCAGCTGTTCTGTACTCTAGCTTCAGCAACTGCTTCTCGACGGGTATATTCTCGCAAATGGTGTCGAGAGTTCTCGTCTTCGTTTCCGTGTGCTTTTACTTTCGATGTTTCAGCGCGTCCTCGGACTGTGTCAGACCCGCCTTCACTGTGGTCGAGAAACTTTTGCTTATAAGCTAGTTGTGCATTTACCAAAGCGATACGGTTGCGTTCCTGGTATCGTAATAGCCACGTCATAAGTACATTTACGATGTTTCCGGCCAGAAAGAGTACTTACGCTAATTTGGAAGTCTACAATAAATTGCGAGGTCGGTGCAAAAGTAGGGTAATGTCCTCTCGACAGTGGCCAGAACCGTCCATGGCCTTGGGCTGTGCTATCTCCAGCTAATGGGTCTTCAATTACCGTAAAGCTGTTTACGTTAAGCTTGTTGCGCAAATTCATCATCAGTTGAATAAACTTCTGGATATTGATTGAGTTCTGCTGGTGAAAAAATTGTTCAATTGAATATCGATCACAAACGGCGAGGAGAGCTGTCCGAAAGTAGGAGAGGTATGCCAGAACTGCAACAAACAGGAGTTGTGGCGTGTCCGACATTGTGAAAAGATGGTCCCACAGACACATCCACTCGTCTTCACTCAGCACTTCTGTAAAAATAGTCTCGAGTAAACTCCAGGCATAGGTCTCAGACGCAACTTGATATTGAGTAAAATGATCGTAAAGCTTAGCGTCCTGCCGAGCCAATTCGATTTCAATTGCGTGCATGGCGAATACGGGTGGATACGGAAGGCTAACAAGGAATTCGCCACACCAGTGAAGCATGATGCTGACACTTGTTTCAAATGCTGCCAGGTCGTTTTCTCGGAAAATCTTGACAAATGGATACACAATAGCGGGTAAACAGCCCACATTACCGAAGGCAGGACACCAATACACCATTGCCGAAAGAATACGGTGGAGACGACGAAAGGTACGACCATCTTGTAACAAGTATTGGTCATTTAGTCGGACGAATACTGGGTGTTTACCTTTCGCCACTAGTGACAGAAAAGCTTCTTCATTTTTAGGCAGACGAAGAAGGAATCGCCAGACGAGAACGCGGTATTTCTTGGGGTACTTACCATTGCACTTCAAAAATCTCACAAGGCGCTTTCGATTCACTTCAATTTCTTGAGCTGTCATTTGAGCAGGAAAGCGGGATATTGAACTCGTTTTCCGAGTTCGAAATTTCTTTCGCCATGTCGGAGAGTTGTCATTAGCCACCTTCACCTTCGTAGTCAGCGCATTAGGCGACCCTATTGCAGTCCGGACATTTGCTTGCGTGGCACTCGATCGACGCATGAGAGAGGCTTCCATGGAACTCGTCGTTGCGCCACTTCGATTCTGCTTTGCTCTTCTGCCAGTCTGTCTAGTATATTTTGCACCAAACAAGCTGTCAATAAGCTTCGAAGGGACTGGGTGATTATCCTCTGGTGTGTCTGCTTTTGGGTCCACATCGTCGGAGAATCCTGGTTTTTGCAAGCCAGGTCGAGCATGTATGCAATCATGACCCCCTAACTTTACCAATCCATTTTTCATTTGCCGTCTCTGAGCTCGAGCAGCCGTTTCTCGTGCGATTTCCATATCGTACAACAGTAGAAACCCGTCGCTACATGATATTAGCACCAACCAAAGAAAGCGCAACAATCATCCAAATAAAATAATTTACCTTGTCGACACTGCGAGATATCGAGAATGGCACTCGATATCAAAAGTGTGAATAGTACAGCCTGGGTTTGAGATTTCTAGCTGGACCTGTGGGTTTTTCGCTACAACGTCAACAAAGAAGACGTCTCCATCATCTGCTAAAATGCCTATCACTGTATTATGTCGCGGAAGAAATGCATGCTGCAGAAAAATATACAGCCCGCAACAAAAATGTTGAAACCAACGTAGCATAATCCAAAAGGATCAACCACTCACCCTGACAACTTGTTTGATCGGTGATGGGAGCTCCATAATGCGTCTAATCGTCTGTGATTCAAAGTCCCACACGTAGATAAATGGCGCTCGTCCACTACATCATTTAACAGCAGCATAAAACGTATTGTTAACAAGAAACCGACATTTAAAATTACGGAATCCGCACCTGGCTACGAGCACTTGATGGTCATCCGAGACTGTGATCCTCTGTAATCCAGGCGATTGTTCCTTCTCAGGCAACGTGAACCTATAATGTAACTCGAGTGACTCTAGATCCCACATCAAAATAGTATCATCTTGGAAACACACGGCTACAAGGGTTCCTCGGGCCACAAACGTGGCCTCCTGCACTCCAGGTCCAGCGTTTAGCACGCGATACCTGGACCAGTCCTTTGTATCCCACAAAATCACCGCATCTTGTGACGCCGTGAGTGCTAATTGTCCTGAATCGTGGAAGGCCGCACATTGCGCCGGAAATTTGTGGCCGCGCAACGTGCTAATGAGCACTTGCGACTGCACGTCAATGCAGCGCACTGTCTTGTCTTCACAGGTCACGAGCAACTCCGTCTTGCGCTTGGGATTAAAGCAGCAATAAATAGTAGCAGTTCCAATATTTTGGACCAATGAATAGCGATTGCCTGTCACATAAAACGCAAAGATACGGCCTCGCTCGTCCGTTGCAGCCAAGAGATCACCCGAGGCATTGAACGATACAGCACGAAAACTAGCCGAGCGTTTGTCATGGAAGCTATACGAGAGATTCTTTACGCACGATAAAAGCCCCTTGCTACTTACAAGCGGTCTACGTGGCCAGATGATACCGTCCTGTGTAGCTTGTAGCTCTAATGTCTGCACCATGATATTATGACTACTGATGGAAGTCATTCTTTTTGATCAATGACATCATTTGAATTAGTTTTATTCAATCACAAGCGAGAAAAACTTTATTTTAGCACCTCCATGTCGACTGACTCAGTCGTCTCGCCGCGCAAGCGTCTGCCGCGTCTATATGTGGACCAGCTCACAGCTGCAAGTGACAGTATTGTAGTACAGGAAGATGAGTACCATAATGTAACATTGTCTAGTGCACAATCTTCTCCGTCTACTGCGTCATCTCTGAGCTCTCTTAACAGTCTTGTTGTTGATACAAAGAACAAGACGAAGTCGCCCCCGTTTGAATTGATTCATTTGCACGAACGTGTAACATCCAGACTTGTAGGTAACAAAAGCACGGATGATCATGAATTTGTCGCTGATGCAAAAGATGACGGACTCACGACATTTCAGCAGCTTTGTAAATGGCTACAGCGTCTACGAGAGACGTTTGGCACGTCGTTCCTGCTACTCGTGGGTACAGTGTATGCTGTACAGGGTTTTATGAGCTTTAGCACGCTAGCAGTCAACTATTTTTTTAAGGAGAATTTGCAGCTACAACCAGCAGAATCGCAGTCCTTGCTGACGGTCATGATGGTGCCTTGGGGAATCAAACCACTCTATGGCATTATTTCGGACAGTTTGCCGCTATTTGGATACCACCGCAAGTCGTATATGATGCTCTGTAGTGTCATTGGTATGGTGTCAACGCTCACGTTAGCAGTGCCAGATTTGATTGTTACTCCACTTGGTGCGGTGTTGGTGCTTATGCTGAACTGTCTGTCGACAGCAGTGATCGACGTGGTAATTGATGCACGAGTTGTGGAGATGTCGAGATTAGACTCGAAGTATGGAGCAAATGATCTTCAGTCGGTATCATGGGTGTCCATGTCAGTAGGCGGCGTGCTTGGATCTTTCTTGTCTGGTCCGGCCACACATAATCTGGGTGTGCGCGCCGTGTTCTTTTTCGCGGCTGTTGGTCCACTTACAATTTTGATTCTTTCCATCATGATGCATGAAGAGAAGACATCGGTGAGCAAGCGTCACTGGAAATTGTCGGCAAAAAATCAGTTGCGACAGCTAAAGTGCGCAATTTGCACGCCCGTGATCTGGATGTGCGCACTTTGGGTGTTCTTGTCAGGTGCTATTAGCCCCGGGTATTCCCAGGTATTTTTCTATTTCTCGACGGACGTACTACAGTTTACCCCGGAGTTTTTAGGGACTGTTTCTGCGTTCGGGTTTATCTTTTTGATGGTCGGCACCATGTTATACAATGCATGCTTCAAGGACATGTCATTCCGTCGCGTCTTTTTGATTGCGCAGATTAGTTTATCTATTATATCGTTGTTGGACGTCGTGCTGGTCACGCGCTCTAATTTGGACATTGGAATCCCTGACAAGGCATTTGTACTGGGTGACGCTGTTATCGCGGACGTTATTGGCCGCCTCAAAACAATGCCTGTGATGGTGCTCTGCGCTAAGTTATGCCCTAAGGGTGTTGAGGGTACTTTGTTTGCGCTGTTGATGTCCATCGCTAATTTTTCTAGCTGTGTGAGCGAATTTTGGGGCGCTTTAGTCTGCGCATGGTTGGGTATTGCCAAGAATGAGTACGACAAGTTGTGGCTTGCCATAATCTTGCGCAGTATATTGAAGGTGGTTCCTATTTTCTTCCTTCACCTAATTCCAGTGACAGACCCCCAAGAAATTGTGGATGAGCTGGATTTTAACTTACCTGCGTATGATGGTACAACAAAGGCTAGAGATGGCGAAGACGAGGACAAAGAGGACGATGACGAACACGTGGGCACAATTTGTGAAGATCACGCAGTACAGGACTGTTCTCCCAGCGAAAAAGGTGAGCTGGAACGTGTAGTCGCTGCTCTTGTTTGATAGAATATGTTTACTAGTTTAACATGCGGACAAAGTAGATATATGTGTATGTAAATAATTCATTGATAATTCATCTGAGAAAGGTTCCTTACAATATCGGGGTACATGTATTGGACTTTATCAAATCTCGACTGGCAAACGTTATCTTCATGTGCTTATACGTTAGTGTTCTCCTCATTAGACAGCTCAGAGAAAGAGACGACCATTGCCGTGATATTGTCCATACTGCGCTTGAGTAGGGCAGCCTCCACGAGAGCGTTAGCTGCAAATTGTAGCGCCTCCTTTGATATATCCTCTGAGCTTGTGTGTTCCTCTGGCCAACAGAACTCAGCCACCTTAGCATGCACAATCTTGGCAGCATCTTCGTCACTTAAGCGATCCCAGAGACCATCGCTCGCAAACACGAGATACTCGCCAACTGCTTCCACATTGAGAACACGAACATCTGGAACCACAGACACTAGCGGAGCGGAGCACGATGGCGGCAAATTCGTCTTTAGTGGGTGGTCGCCCAGAGATCGACTGATGGCCAACCGTAGCGGGATTTGGTCGTGAGCGACACGCCAGCATCCCGAAAAAATAACCTTGCCTCCTGCCTTTTTTACGCGATCCATCTCCTCCTTTAGATCGGGCTTGTGATCAACTGAGAGACGTACAGCACTTGGCATCACTTCGCCATCTTCATTGTCACTTGCCTCGCTGTTGTTATCTGCCAGGGCCAACACACCTCGCGAGTCTCCAACATTCGCAATAAAAAGCTTTCCACCAACTAGCAGTCCCAGTAGTACCGTTGAGCCGTCACGCTTATTCAAAATAACAGTACGCTGTAGGATCTCAGCATCAACTGTCGCAAACGCGTCAGCCAGCAACGAGCAGATTTTTGATACATCGTCGTCGGTCAGTTCGGTGTACCGCGCACGCCTACTGATCTGCACAAGATCTTTATTTCCAGCCAACAAGACTTTAAAACGACGAGAGGCATACTCAGACGCATATGCACCGTTATGACCGTCATACACCGCCAGCAAGCTCGGGGACGATTCGATGTCCATCTCATCCTCAAACAAACGTTCAACCGCTGAGTAGCGATCTTCCATATACTGCCGGGCACCTTGTGCAAACGAGACGCCAATTTGCACACGCATTTTAGCAGCCTCTTGTCTTCTATTTTTGTTCTTCCTGTTGTTGCTGTATTTCGGGTGGCAAATGGTCGTATACTCAATACATCGTGGAGCTTTTGTCTCCTCTTCGTGAAATCTCTTCAGTGCGTTCTCAATTGCATCTACTTTACGTCGTTTCCTTTCTCTGCTCTTGTCCACAAATTGATTCATCGATGGCGTAAATGCCTTTATCACTTCCGTCTCTTCCGGCAAAGGCTGTGACATCTGTTCTTCTTCGTGATCATCTAGACTTGTTTCAGAGTCTTCACAATCCAATGTACCTGCTGTTCACGCAATCAATACAAAAACACATATTCTCTCGTAAACATCAAAAAGAATGTCTTCTACAAGCCATGTAGCAATTAAAAATAACAGCCGAGTAGCTACGCTCACCAGACGTAGGTGATTGTGATTGCCGCTTCCGTTTGACGGTAGTTAATAACGTCAAAGTCTCTGCTTTTGTTTCAATTTGTGTATAGCTAGTCTTCTTCGTCGTCTCGTCTACTACAATACGTTCAAGTGCGCGAATACCTGCATGCTGCAATAATCGAGGAGGAGGTGGTGACTTGCATTTATCCGGTGGCGTAGCTGAACACATTTCAAGTCCCACCATACCATTAACAGGGGACGCTACTAGGACGTCACCAGGAGCCATTTGTCGAGTAAAATGACAAATGAGAAAATTAAGTAGAAAACAACGGAACGACCTTCACTCTTGAGCTCACGTTATTACTTAACTTCAAATAGACAGTCGTCTATTTAGTCACTCACTTTGGCGCCAAATCCGAAATTAGTGCCTTAATTACAACGAAACATTTGATTGGTCACTTTTGTTCCGTGACGAAAATTCGTTTTGACAGGCTTGTCGTCGCATAGAATTCTTACCTTCTTTGCTGTATCTAGTGCTTGTTTTATGACAGTTGTCGGCAATAAAGTCTTGGCGATCGGCACGGTTGCCGCCGAGCAGTTGCGATATGCAGCGCGACGTATCAGAACAATTGGTGCCGGCATCGTTATATATGCATGAGCAGACAGGTCAACTGCCACGATGGGTGAAGAAGCGTGTAGTAGGAAAAGGCAGGAAGCGCGTCGTCGAAAGCGGTAGTGCAATGATAGCACAGGGAAAGCAAGTTGACCAAGTTTGCATGACAGCTACAAATTTGCTAGTGTGAGTGATAGCGAACAAACAGCTAGGGTACAGCAACACAGTTCTAATGACAGTTTTCTTTCATCCTTATCAAGCGCAAAGGCCTTACCGGCCAACATAAAGTACGCCATATTTCAATTAAACAAGCATACGGTCTAGTGCTAATCAGAAGATATGATCGAATTCTACGGACCATATCTTGACTGACAAACTAAATGTCAGCACGAAGAGAATATGCAATAGCTTATTCTGTCGACGCATCTTGTATCGATAAATGGGTGTCTTGTTTGGCAGTATATTCTACCAGAATTCTTGCTTGTATTTGTCGACATCTCTCTGCTAAGTGGGCAAAAAGTCGAACTCTAGTCGAACGTGCCATTTAAAATTGCAGAACTGCTGGTGACTCTACTGGCTTTGCGGTGTCGAGCAGATTTCAAAACGTTTTGGGCAAGCCACCCTCAAGCCCCAAAACACGGATCGGTAGTGTCAACGGGACAAGAGGATGAGTGAGACCTTTCACGCAAACGGGGTGAAGCCGGTAGAGGCATGCACAAAATTATTCAATGCATCACAACGAGTGGGAAAATTGAGCTTCAACGCCGCGGCTTTTAGCACAGACGCTGCTAATTGTATCTTCAACAATGCGACCAAAGCGTTCGTTTGACCATCGGTCGGCAGATGATTTTTCGTGGACATTCTCAACCTGGTGCCAAGCACCTTAAACACCGATACCAAAACTTTCGGTAAATCAGGGATCGCTATCCTACGGGTAGACGACGCTGACGGAAAACCTGATCTTTATACAGTTTTTGCTGTACCCTTCCCCGCTTGAGTCCAACACAGCCGCTAAATAAGCCATCGTGCTCATCGATCAACAAAGACCACAATACCAGTGTTGCCATCCGTAGGCCAAGCACACAGTCCATACTCATGGAATCGCAACGCCCAGAGGGTACGTGTAGGCTCGCAAGCGGATCAGGAATAGCGATGTATCTAAAGGAGCTGGTCAAAGCTAATAAGATGCAAAGTGAATATATGTAAGATCCTTAGTTCGCAACTTTTCTTTCTACTCTAAGCCTACTAGATTCTTTGACTATACAACAGTAATCGACACTACGCGTATTACTCGTTGTGTAGTCGCGCATGAGTAATCAACTTTATATACAATATATACGTATTACTCATGGGATAGGCGTACAATTAACTACCAGACCGTACCTTTCGTGTGTCGTTGTCTGGCCGAGGCGCATCATCAACAACAGTATCCCCACACGCATGCGTGCCAACAATTTTTGTCCGAGTCTTTTAAAATCCTTGCTCCCAAGAGCATGTAGCAGAGCTACGCATTGATTGTCGTGTGCATAGGTTGCATGGATCAAGTTAGTCAATGAAGACGCTAGCGTCGTCACATAAGCAAACGCATAGCCAGTATGTTCATAACGCATTTAGCCGAAGCATTTGCTTACCCGATTTATGACTTCACCTTATACTTATATTCGGCAAAAAAACGAAAGTCAATGAGCCCTTCTTTGCGAAAGGTGAGGCATTTGTGTCGTAGTCCGTAGTGACGCGTGATCTATATAGGCCACAGAAAGCTTCGAGCCTAGCATATGAACTTTGAATTTGACGATAACATACTTCATAGCAAGTACTCTATGTCATGAATCGAGTAGATCTTCTCTGCAGCCTTAAGCTAGTGAGACTCAAAAGCGATTACACGCTCATGCCTATATGCGTCTGCTTGTAGCAATGCACAACCTATGGCAAAGTTAGACGCGTCACAAACGATACTGAAAGGGCGGTCAGGATCTGGCAGGGCCACAATTAGAGCATGAAGGAGACTGTCCATCACCCCTTCAAATGTATCTTGGTGTTTAGTGTCCCAGCACAACTCAACGTCCTTCTCAGAAGGTTTGACAATGGCCTATCCATATCATCGTATATCGCGCGATAATTATATAAGTAGTTGGCGACGATAAGACGCTTCCGTAAGTTTTCTGGTTCTTATGAAACAGCCAATCGACTATGGCCTTAGCCTTAGCGGGATCTACTCAGAGGCCTCGCTTCCAAAGAATCATCCTAGAAGCTTTATTCGCGCCAAACAGACACTTTAATGTATTTCAAAATAACTTATTAGTGCACATTCACTTGAGCACTACTCGCAAATGTCGGTGTGATTTTCCACATCCGACTCTCCGTGCTCTGCACGACTTTATTAGCGATGTCATCAAAGATGTATGTGCATACGTGGGAGAGCTGTGGAACAAGACAAGCAAACGTAGCCGGGACGTTCAAAAGCCCTTGTGACATTACCAACCACTCCTACAGCATACCGCTTAGAGTACTTACTGCTGCAAGCGGGATTTCACTGCTTGCACGAGCAACTAGTAATAACATCGACCAAGTCGAGTGCAATGTACATGTACAGCCAACTATGTGTTTTGTATCACATTCTTCCTAAGTATCGGCGTCTCTGCCAGAACGGTGGACGCATTAAGCTTATTAAAAGTATGGATAATGCGCCACTAATCATTAGGCTTTTTACTGATACAGAATGTGGGTGTAAAGTGAAGGGACTTGCTCTCCCTCACCATACCAGCAGCGTGCTTTGCAATAAAGAAGGCTTCAATGACGTCGCATTTCTCTTTACGTAAAGATCACTGCCGAGTATCGCAGTATTTGGTTTCACTATCAGGTCAGTTTCATAACGCACTCCTCTATCACAAGGCAGTACCAAAGGCGGGTCATGACGGACCACGTCTTGAAGTTCCTTCACCATTGGGTAACAAGGATGCGGTGAACTCTAAAGGACCTCTGATCCACTAAGCACACGGAGTTATTTCTTTGCGTTTGAAAGTACCGCTTTATCTAAAACCAAGGACGAGCTCAACTCCTATTTAGGGCGTAAGAAAACCATAACAACAAAATTCCCAGCATTTAGACTTCTCCAAGCTCGTCCACCAATATTTCGTCGATCACTAGAAATAACATTCAGTTAAGGAACAGCCTTGAGGCTAACGTCACTACTAGCTATACCATAAACGAGTGTCTATAACTGCTAATTATTTCCCTTACGAGAAATGACAGACGCCTTGCGTCTCGCAGCCGCCATCTGGCGTTTCTGCCACCTCCTGGCGCACCTTCGACCCTTTCTATTTGCCTCCTATTGCCGAGGGCATGGGGACAACCCCTCAAAATCCACTAAGGCAAGGGTCAAGATACGGTTTAAAGAAGTTATCTAAGACACTAGGTGTGTTTGCATCTTCTGGGAAGGTTAAGCGTAAAGGCTTACAGTACCTAAGCGGGTGGGGTGAAATCAATCGTGAAGGTTGTTGTAGTATCAACAAGGTGCGAGCACCCAGTGGCGAGGTACTGACTCAAGACCTCGCTTTACAAAGTTTAGATGCATTTTGTAAGAAAAGCTCTCGAATGTTTTTCAGCGCGATTTTCTTTCTGGCGGCATCTGAATCCAGTGTACCTTAAATTACGGTCACATCCAAGATATACCCAAGCGTACTTAAGGGACAGCCACACCAAAATGGTGTGGCAGGTGTGTAAGTATAATACCATCATAGCTTAGTTAGCTCGGTCCTGGTTTAATATCTCTGACGATATGAACCATCGACCCCCATCTTTATCCAGCAGCGATGAACGATGAGCGCAAACTGTAGTCTGGGTAGAAGATTGGTGGGACTTGAATGCGACCAGCGTTAGAATTGGTGCTTGCGAACTCCCAGTAGACCCATTCAGAATTGTCGAGCTTGCAACCAACCAAAAGAAAGCACTTGTATGACCAATGGAAGCCGTCGACACCAGATAGCAAGTTAACAAAACATGCACATGACCAATACTAGAGCCTTCATCCACCCACTGCTTCCACTTTGGCAATCCTTCCTCATCGTTTAGAGGCCTAGGGAGCTTGAATCTAGTTCGTTGCGATAAAACTTTTCAAGTTACCGAGAGCTCTATTTCAGTGAAAAACTCAGCGTCTGTAGCTTTAGTCCAGCAAACGCGACCTAAGGGTCCCAGCTGCTTATGAGAGCTTGCGTACAAATACGACCGAGATCTTCTTCTTGAAGAAGAATAACTCACGCTCCTCCCTCTGGGGGTCACGCCAAGGTCCAGCTCTTCATGTTGTTGATTTCTTCTATCGGACAAATACCACCTTATTTTTTCGCACGCAGCACACACAATGAACATTTGCCGCTTGATGTCCTTTGCGACCGCACTATGGCAAGTTTATCGTTTCCACCATCTGTGATCGTTACGCTTAGTTGATGTGCAATTCGTCATGCCTTTGACAGGATGTTGCGATCTTGAGCGTTAGACCAACTAGCAGCACTCAGTCTGGACTGCTGATCACCACTTTCAATGCCAACAACTCTTACAGCAGGGCTAGTTTTGAAGACATCCGAGTGGATGCTTAGGCTGATCGCTCCGAAATACATGTTTGATTCCATGGATGTCTTGCTTCGTCGGTCCTCTAGTTGTTAATATACACGTAGCGTTTTTGTCATGGCAATCCGCATCTCTCAAACGCAACCACGATTCCTCAATGTGTCAATATATGCTCCACACGGTCACAACGTGCTGCTAGTGACCCGACCCTGACTGAAACCTTCCCTCACAGTTCGGCCACACTCAGCCTGTACAAAGTCGTGTATAAGGAACAACTTTGATCCTTACAGAAAGATCGGTAGGAGGAGCCGGAAGCGTTGATTCGCGAGCAAATTGAAGATTCTGGTCCGAGAATGTCGAACGCGTTGAAGCGTGATGCAGGACGTTGCCCGTCAACCGAGATAAACCAGGATTTAAGCAAACGGTGGTGGGAGGCAAAGCATTGCAAGAGGCGATAAAGGCTCGGACAACTCAGCGAAGAATAAGAACGAGTTGCAGCCGCAGCTGACCAACCGAATGAGAATGGTGCCGATAATGATGATGATGATGATGGTGAAGACAAAGATGGAAGGAGGGGTCAACGGTGACGTTGAATCAAGTACAAATATTCTTGCCGACGGAGAAAGAAGACGGCCAGGGAGAGGAGTGTTCTGAAAAGAAGCATGGCAAAGCTTCCAGAAGAATTGGGCTGATACGGCGACAAATGCGACAACGACGGCGATGCCGCCGGCGACGACCTAGATGACAAAGACATGGCGAACTGGACTGTCGGATAAAAGCGCCGACGATGGCGTGAATGTGGTGCCCAGAAGGACGAGGATGCCGAAGAAGATATTGGGAATAACGCTAGATACTGCTGTCAGCTGAAGGTGGTGGTGGTCTTTGAGATGAGCCAAAGCTTAGCGGGAGATCAGATCTATATTATAGACCTTGTTGTGTTCACGATCCAAAGACACAGCAAACTTCTAAGGATGATTGGTTGGTACGATCCAACCAATCTTCTCCGGCGGCTCATGGTCCTCTCCATGATCTTTTGGCTGATCCAGTCACAATTCAAGTCGTAAACTCCATGCGTCTCACTTACTTTCTCCTCATTATGGTACTTAATCTTGTTTTTTCATGCTGCCATAGCGTTATGAATGGAGATAGCACCACCTTGACAAGAAATCGCGCAGTGGACGTCAACCACGACCTTACAAATGAAAACGACAAAAAGCGCAACCTAAAACAGATCAAGATCTCCGTAGATGACGAAGAGAGAGACGTATCAAGCCTCACTAAACTCAACAACGTTTTAAACAAGTTACCTAATCTTAGCACACTCGAGGAATTTGTCGAGATTGCTAAGGCAAAAGTCAGAAATGTTCGAGAGAAGAGGCGTGTCACGATAACCATACTGAATGATGTCTTGCGCATGATTGCGTGTATAGGGATCATTTCAGTTGCTACGGGGCTCGTTGTTTATTATACTACGAATCGATGATACCGATAACATGCCTTTAATCATGGATTCGCTCTGGTCTTACTGTACACTTATATGATTCACTCTTTGGACATTTGCCAAGCAATGTACCAGTCAGTCACCAACAGCAAATTTTCTTTCTTTTGTCCGGATTAAGCTACTTCCACTCGTCTTTGTCTATCGTGACCGCAGCAACCTTCGCTTTTAGTGTCTCGATTTCTGCACAGCTCTCATGATTACCACCGTTTACAGCTGAGCCCACGGCAGCAGTCCGCTCGACCAATAGCTTTTCGCCTGTAATTTTGCTTTGCTTGTGACATTCAGAGCTATTTGCACTGCCCTCTTCTTCAGTTTCATCCTTTTCATCGTCATCACTCCACGCATCTGCAATAATTGGAGCCTGGCGAGGTTCAATGTGTTCCCAGCCACGATTGATAGAAACAGGGCGTCTAGTTGGCACTGACGACATTTCCTGAGTAGGGGGTAAACGGCTTCGTAGTGGGAGATATTTCAAGCGGCTCAACGCTTGAGCTGCCTTAGCTTGCTTGTTAAGATTACTCACGAACGCAGACAGCGTCACGCTTGGCACTTGTGCATCCTTATGCTTGAAAAAAGACACTCGACGGCGCGGATCTTCCCCAAATGATTCCGAGACAACCCCGTAAAATGTGGCCAATTGGTGCATCAACGCTCGCTACGAAAAAAATGATCAAGCAGTATATATGAGGTCAAAAGTCCTACCGTAGTGCACAAAAGATCATGAAAACAATACAAACCTCTTCACCTGACATCGTTCGTAGACTGACGCTATGACATGATGGCTCTTGGACTATTCGCTCCAGTCGACGCTCGACTACGGTTAGATAGCTTGTGTTCGCTTTTCCCCATGCAATCAGTTCTTCTGGGTAATGAGGTGTCTTGATCTCTTCTTCGAAGGCAGCAGCATCTCCACTGGCAAGTTCAGGTCGAGTAACCCCAAGTGCTTGCGCCAGTCGCTGGTTGCGAAAAATCTGGCCCCGGGGTGGTGTTGAAGTACGCCGAGTCGATATAGATGGACTCTTGCTATGAACACTGAAATGCCGAGCTATAGCTGGCCTCAACACTGGAGGTGGGGAAGGCCTGGCAAGTGTCGGTAGAGCTGGGAATGCTTCCTCCAGTTGCACAGACGGAGAAGGTTGATGGTCACTGACGCCGTAATTCCAGTGATCTGGCACTTCATCAGCGTAATTTGAGCTGAGCGGTCCACTAACTGGATTTCCACCGCCGCGCGCAACTTGAAAATTGAATTGCAGACGATTGTGTATACCGTGTATAGAACTCATGTGCGCATGGTACTCTACATCATTAGGAAACACAACAAAACGCATCTCGAGGCTGCGACAACGCACAAACGTCGGCATCAAACGCGCTTTTTACAAAATCACTTAGAATGTACGTACCATCTTGAGTTTTCACACAAATGGTGTTCCCGGCGGAAATGCGTCTCCAAACTTGCGCTACAACACAAAAGTTAGCGTGAGCGTCCAAGAACTACACTGACAACACAGAATAGTACCACGTACTAATTGCGAAAGTATTCATTCTCAACTTTGCAGATATGGCACTTGAAGTGGTCGCGTTCCAGGTGCTCGTACAGTTCCTTGTCTCCGTAAAATCGCTTTCGACAGAACTGGCACATCGGGTGGAAATCTTTGCCAGTATTGGCATGTTTCGGATCCGCTAATCCACCACGACTACGTCCACTATTGTGTCCCTTGAGTGCGCCCTTTGTAAATACTTCTTGTTCCTGAATAAAGAATGACTGATGGGTCAAACACAGCTCGCAGAACGCGACGCCATGATCATGACGCATATGCTCTTTCAGTTGACCCAGCGAGTGCTTTTTCTCTCGACATCGTTTCATTCTGCAGCGAAATTCGCGCAAACTGCATAGATCGTCGTAATGAGCTCGACAATCAACAAAAATCATTCCCGTCGTTTCGTCAAGTATCGACCGAGGCCCTACTGCATCACCCCAGAGCTCAAAGTTTTCGTACAAACGTATATCATCACAAACCACCACGTGCTCTAGCGGCTGTTTACACATTGGACAATTGCGATCATCCATAATGAATCGCATACGCATTGAACACTTGCTGCAAATGCCATGGTGGTTGCATTGCCCTACCACTTGAAACTTAATATGATTTGCACACAACAAACAAACTTCATTCTTCTCTTGTTTCAACAATGATTCTTCAGTCATCTCTTGCATACTATTCACAAGTATCAATCGTCTTCTTCGTCTTCGTCTTCGTCTTCGTTCTTCGTCTTCTTCTTCTTTACTGAAGCACCCACCACAGTCTTTTCTTCATCAATTCCTAATCTTGTATGCTCCAATTCAATTGGCTTTACTGTCGCACGTGTCAAACACGTTTTCTTCGGCTGATATTGACGTGAACGTTGATTCCATTCATCTGAAACGTCTTCGACACGAATTCCATTTGCTCTAGACGACGTCTTATGACTAGTATTACTGTGTCTATGGACAGAGCTAGGGACCATCATCAATGATGACGTATGAATTGAAAGTGTAGAAGATTCACTGACGCTATGGCTCGTGATAGTAAAACTGTTTCCTATGCTTGCCATGGATGGAAGTAGTAGGAATGAATGTCACACGAGAGACGTTTTTTTCTAACTACTAATTAAATGGGAAAAAGGTAGACTCAGATTTTAATAATAGAACTCAATCGCCAGAATGATGGTCAAATGAAATTCAAGACGTTAAAGAGAACGCGCAAAGAAAACTCGCCGCTATTTTAAGGTAGCTTACACACAATTTGGTGACGTATACATGTATACATACATACTCACGCACGTATAAACGATCAACTTGATGACGTATCAAATCTTAGACAACTTGAGACAAGTTGTCTAAAATTACAATCCTACTACAAAGTCGTGCGTGGGAGAAGAACATTGCCGACTTATTAAGGTACCGAACTTAACGATAATTATGGCCATTGAGCATCTAAAGACAGTATTACGGCTACAGGCGACAGTAGTGGAAGGTTTTGGACGTGGTGGAAAACAATTAGGCTGTCCAACCGCGAATCTGTCAAGTAAGGACCTGGGCGACCTCTTGGAACAGTTGCCCACTGGCATTTACTGCGGTTGGGCCACAGTTGATGGCGAAGGTCCATACAAGGCCGTTGCTAGCATTGGCTGGAATCCGTATTTTAAAAACGAGGTGCGATGGATCAAATGTATTTTTGAAATAAAGAGAAAGAGGGAGTTTATACGGAATGGATTGACTATTGCATGATGTAATTACTCTATCTCGTCTTGTGCTTGCTGTGTTTTATAGGAAAAAACAGTAGAACCCCATTTGCTGCACAAATTTGACAAGGATTTTTACGGAGCACAGCTCAAGTTCCTTGTTGCTGGCTACATTCGGCCGGAAATGAATTTTTTGTCGCTTGAGTCGCTCATTAAAGCCATCCAGGACGATATTGCACAGTCCAACGAGTGGCTTGACACTCGTGAGGGCAAGTCCTGGTCGCAGGATGCGCTCTTTCAATAGCTTTTGAATCGCGCAATACGATGCAAGGGATGAAAGCGTCTGGCCCGCAATATGTGGGAATAACGTGTAGAACCTGGTAACATAAATATGTACGCGTAGCTTTGTCTGTTTGCCAGGGCGAAGCGGACGTTGATATAAGCAGCAACAGGCTATTCTATATTGTCACTTACGCATTACGCTTGAGTCTGACCCACAACAATACAACAAACACCTAGGACCATGAGCAGAATACTAGGAAATTTTTTACGCAAATCTCGTTCCCGAAACAAAAATCGCCCCATTAGCACGCTCCAGATGCAGCCAGACCGCTTGATTGCAATCACGTACGAAACCTCAAGGTGCTGCGTCGCCACGAGATTAATGTAGTACGCCACGACGCTCGTGATTCCGGTAAGAATGACAAATTTCCACGGAATTTTCGGCTGCTGTCCAATCGGAAGGTAGACCTCCTCGCCTCCTACACGCATTTTTTGCAAGATGTAGCTACCTCCGGCCACAATGATCTGAATTGTAGCACCATACACTAGCGGTGTCGAGTTTTGCACGCCAATCTTGTCAAATGCATTCGAAATACTCCACAAAAAAGGCAACGATAATCATATACATAGACCCTTTTCCCGCATTTGACGCGTCCACAAACAGATCCTTGCTTGTGTTTATGTCCTTGGCACCTTGGAGCCAAAAACCTCCCAGCGTGGCAATCGAAACACCCAGCATACCGGAGATCGTAGGAACTTCACCCAGTACAACAAACGCAACGATCACAAGAAATGCAGGTGTAAAAGAAAGGAACGGGACCGTGGCAGACAATGTGGAGATCTGAATCGCTCGGTTATACAAATAGCTGGTGATGATGTTGATACCGCCGCTGATACACACAGACGTCCAATAGAGACCATTGAGCTGTGGTAGGTGGCCATTAGAGTCCAGAATAGCCCATAGCACAAATAGTGGTACTTGAATCATTCCACGCATTGCTACAATCATAAAAGGGTCCATGGATTTTGTTAAATACTTGCGCATGGGGTCACAGAGTGCATTAACCACTGAATTAATCAATGCAATGGAAACACCATACGACACGTGCATTGGAGTGGTAGAGTGTTTACAAGTATTTTATGAAAAAAGTTTATAAATACAAAAGGGTAGTAAGTAGTATAATAGACGATAAGCAAAGCTCAAAATAAATACTGATCGCAACTTCTAGCTAACGTTTTCCTACGATAGATCGATAGACGGACGACAGATGGTCTTTTGTGCTAAAAGTGTCAAGTCTTTGTTGTTTGTCGATAACTCGCTGACTGTATGATTCCAAGGTTTTTATTGGTAGATAAGCGATTACAACGCGTCAACGAGTGGGCAGCTATAGTACTGTCAAATGAAGATATTCTTTCTTACAAAATAAGTATACACATGATGGTAGTTTTAAACGATCGTACACATATAACAATAAGCGAAAAACAGACTGAATGCTTGCATTAAACAACATATTCTCTCTTACGCGTATCATCATCAATTGTCAAAGCTGTATCATATCGTTCTCGATTTACTCACCATCCGTGAGAGTTAGTAGAATTGCTGTATTGTGTCGTATCCTGACAGGTCTCCACTTGCAAAGAACGGCACAAGCAGTGAATCGTGCTTTTCATTCTCCTTAAGTCCGTACTGTGGAAGCAGGTAAGATGTCATCACAGGCGTGTAGTTCTTTGGAAGTCGAAATCCTTGACACACCACAAACGCCTCATTACTTTGTGCACGACTGCTCATAGGTTTTGAGCATGACACACTTTCAAATAAAATGCTGAGCTGCGTTGCTAGAAGACTGTACTGCTCACAGCGAAAAATCTTGGCCACAAATGCTCCACCTTCTTCCAGCACATGAGTAGTAATGTTAAGCGCCGCTGCGAGTAGCTCCGCTTGCACAAATTCGTCAATATCATGCACTCCTGTAACATCAGGCGCACCGTCGCTCACGACCACTTGGGCTTTAGCACCGTAGAAGTGACGGATGATCTGCCCAGCCGTACGCTTGGATGTAATGTCGCCCTGAAGCAGCTGCACACCAGCAATTGGCGCCATTTCTTGCAAATCCACCGACACAATGCGCACGTCGCTACTATCTAAACTCTTTCTACTATCTCGATCGTACAGCTTGCGACTCAACACTTGACTCCAGCTTCCAGGTGCTGCACACAAGTCGACGGCACGCTGTACATTCCGTAGAAAGTCAAATTGCTCGTCCAGTTGGAGTAATTTGAATGCTGAACGTGCACGAAATCCCACCTCCTTGGCCTTGCGGTAATATATATCCTAATGTAAAAGATAACATAAAAGAAAAGCGTAAGATAGAAAGAGATACTTGAGGAATAAGTCGAGAATGATGAAACGTTACTCGCTTAATTTCACTCGACTTGGTCATAATCGAAAAAAAAATAACACCCCGTGACGTATAACTGTCATACAAAGCTGTTTTTTTGGTTGAGTTTACGAAATATATTTCAAGGATTTTATCCGTTTTTTATTTTCTTTCTTTTTCTTTGTTAGAACAACCAAATGTTTGACGACATTACACAAAAATAAGGTCATTTATTGGTTATTAAGAACTTCTGGTCATGTATTTACAGAGATTATCAAATGGTATTAGTGATATGAACCGAGCAAGCGTTGAGAATAATACTACTACTATCCCGTTTGATACATTGTTTGAATCTACCGTCGAGTGTTACGTATGTGACAAAAAATTTCACGCCTTTCGTCGCAAACATCGCTGTCGAGTACGTACTGTTTAAACTTTAATTCAATATGTTGAAATGGCTGGATAGGGAGTAATGGTAATACTGTGAATTTTATATATGATTTTGTAGTCATGCGGCAATGCCGTCTGTGGTAGCTGCTCACGGACTCATAAAACAATGCCAAGCTCTACCATTATTCGTTACAATAACGAGCCCGTACGCGTGTGTGATTGCTGTATTCGGGATCAGAATCAGTTGATGCTAGAGCGTCGACGTGCTGAAGATGTAGAGCGAGCTCGAGCACGACAAGTGGCAATGTTAGAGGAAGGGGAGCGTCAACGTGAGGTGGAGCGGAAGCAGAGAGAACGGAAAATAGCAGAAGCACAAGCTCGACGTGAATTACGACTACGTGCGATTGAGGAAAAGCATTTAGGCTCTCGTCCGAATCTCCGAACATTGAGGTCGAGATATTCGAGAAGCCTGGACGACTGTGCACGAGATGCGCTGCCTCAATCGCTCTACTCAAAGGAACTAAGCTCGTTCCTTGAAGACGCGGAAAAACGATCTGTTGCGTTGATTGCCAAGCCGTATGCGACCGATGATATTTTTGAAGTTAAAGAAAACTTGGATGGCGCCGAGACGGTGGAGACGACAGTGGTTCAGGAAGCCGAGGAGTGTGCCATTTGTCTCGAGACCATGGACGTTGGAGACGCGATTTACACGACAGCGTGTGGACACAGTTTTCACTGGAGTTGCCTGAAGGAAATTCAGAAATCGGACTCAAGCAACCATGACATGTGCCCGTCGTGCCGTGCTATCATGACAGAAATGCAGGTCAAAAAGCAGTGTGACCATCCGCGTGTGCGACTTGGACATCAGTTTTGTCGCGATTGCGGCGCTCCAGCCACAGGTAGGGACGCAAAACCTCGAGTTGATGATATGGCTGCTGCGGGAGGCTCTGATATGCAAATGTCGACTTCTTTTGGTGGACCAAACCTGAATCAACCTGTGTCATATCGTGCCAGTTCGCACGGGGCACTTGTTCGTTGTCCGCAGTGCCATATCCAAATGCGGGTGCTGCCTCATATGTATAATATGTACGTTTATGAAATGATTTTGAACGACTCATCGTATCCTCAAGCTAACATTTTGTGCATGTGTTTGCTCAATCTCCAGGCGTGTGGCATGTCCATCAGGCCACATGTTCTTGGTTCAAGTTGCTGGACAAGCGGGAGGTGGCGGTGGTGGGTCGCGAGTTGCACTGGGTGGCTCAAGGATTCCCCCACGTGGCATGAGTATGGGCTATCCGGGTTCATACAATCACTCCACAAACGCTTACTCCGGACTGTAGTAACTTCAGAAGAAAGACCGCCATGACCGAAAGTGCACAAAAAACGTGGCGCAAAAGGAGTTTATAGCTTAGCGGCAGCTTAAGCGGTCTGCTGTATTTGAAACTACTATACGGACAGCCTGCGCCCACGGTGCTCGCACCTGTTAGAGAAAGGAATTCTTGCCGATGATAGCAAGTGTCTTTGTTTGGTCTTTTAAACTCATCCAAGGTAATTATATCTTGGGGTACTTGTAGTCCGAGTCAGCGCTTTGTGTCTTCTCTGATAGTCGTGGCGTCTCGTAGTAAATGTCGTAGCTTTGCTGTATACTTTCGCGATATGGTTTAATAACAATGCAACCGGAAGAAAATATCGCTATGATAGCATCCCTTGGACCTGACGCTGAAGCACCACCTTTTTTCAACAACCTCACACAAGACAAACAAACCAAAGACTATTTGGAAATAAAACCCAATGGCATTATGCTGTTTGCTTCAGTCCTTCTCTTGCGAGGCTGTTAAAAGCCGACTTTTGCATGAGATTCAGTTACGGGTGGGTGTATAGCAATACTTACGCCGAACGTCCTTTCCTGATGGCTTTCGCTCGCACTGTGTCAGTGTTAACTTGGAAGTGCTTCCAATGCTCAAATTGTTTCTTTTGCACTTCTTCATAAAAATGCCCCGTCGCCGCGAGCACTCAATGCATCTTGATGATGGCTAGCTTCAATGCCTTTCAATGTGACGATACTCTGCTCAAGCCTCGCATTCTTCTTCGTCAACTCTGTCGTCTCAGCAACATTACGCGCTATGTAGTTCGTCAACTTCGTTACCTCAGTTTCAAGCCGCGCCATTGCCGTGTTTGCTAGATTCATCAAGAGTTCAATATTTTCCACAATGTCCTTTTTGATTGATCACATCATGGATATCTAGTGCAAGCAGAGTCCTAGTTTTGTAATGTGATGAAGAACACCAGATTCCGGCACTTTGTGGAGTTTTAGCTACTTAAATGATTTGAGCGCATCTTTCCTCTTAAATGGTCAACCTCAATTAATAGGATTCGGTCTGGTCCGTCCATCCACCGCCGTTGCCATTTCCGTTAAAACCGAGGAGAGCGCCCTCATCCAAATTGGCAAAATTTACACTTGTCGTAGCCGCATCTTGCGCTGTCAACGCGCGCAAGGCCGACGGAAACGATTCAACAAATGTCGCCATGGTTGCTGAAAAAAGGTCAAGACCAGCTTTCTCAGCTAGAACAACTTGGCTAATCTAAGCATAGGAAACAGTATAAAAAAGGTTAGGACCGGTCTGGAAATCATCAGACTCGTTTTTACCTATGAACAAACGTCGCCAATGCATTGGACAAAATGTAACAGAGTTACACAAAGAGTACATATTCACCCCTGCCACACTATTGTGGTGTGGCTGCTTTTTTAATACATTAATGGGTTGATGTGACCGTATCTAAGGTACAATAGGATCATAATACCCTATTGTACCTTAGGGCATACAATATAGTATTAGTAAGTGCTACCGGTAGTCTCGGTATTTTGCAGCTAAAAATTGTATTGTGCGCAGAATACCGAGACTACCGGTACCGCTTACTAAAACCAAGAATGCGAAAGTCAAGACGCCAGCCAACGCCGTCTCTTGGCACCTTGGCACATGATCGGAACCGATACAAGCACAAGTCACCGGATTTCTACGCATTGGGTCAGCAATACAAAAACTTTAAGCAGTAGTACGTAAACTACCAATCAAGTGATTATAAGTACTAATTACGAATGAAACTCATGGCAAGATGACCAGTTTGTACAATGTAGACAATGTGAATAGCCATGCTTCACTTTCTTGGGATAACCCTTTTGCGGTTAGGTAGGTATACCGGTATAATTAAGTATTTAGTCTATCACGAATCAGAAATACTACCAACGATAAACATTTTTTTGTATGGTTATAAAACAGGGAATTGACCAAAACGCTTCTCTTACATGATTTTGGATTGCAATGGGATATTCCAATTAATCGACTGTGTCCACCGGTTCGTGAATATAAAACATGAGTGGGTAACTATTTTCACATATGTTTCTTGTCACTGTCTTGGCTCTGATGCTATACAGCTGCCGAATCGATTGAATTATCTTCATTGGATTGAAGATCTGCTCGGCCACCCCCCACTTGACAGCAAATTTCGAGCGCAAGAGCAAGACCAAAAAGCAAGCGAAAATATTGTGTATGGAATTGATGTAGGGACAGGTGCAAATTGCATTTATGCGTTACTTGGTGCAACGATGAATAAGTGGAAGTTTATTGCGACGGAGATTGATGCTGAGTCATTTGCGTGTGCAAAAGAGAATGTAGCTCGCAATCAGCTTGAATCTATGATTACTGTAAAGCAAACGCAGACGAACAAGTTGTTATTCGAGCCATTGCAAGATGAGCCAATGGAACGCAAATTTCACTTTGTCATGTGCAACCCACCTTTCTTCGACAACATGGATGAAGCGGACACAAACCCAGCGTCGAGCTGTATGGGTAGTGCCAACGAGATGGTGTTCCCAGGAGGTGAAGTTGCATTCATTGGAAACATGATTTTGGAGAGCGTGGAACTGCAGGACCGTGTACTGTGGTATACCTCAATGGTTGGCAAAAAAGCAAGTTTGCGCAAGGTTCTAGCTCTGCTTCGCGAAAAAAAGGTGCGAACTACTCGCACTACTGAGTTTTGTCAGGGACGAACGAAGCGATGGGGAATTGCGTGGACATTTGCCAGAGATATGATGGACGACCCTTGTGTACGTTGTTAATTAATGCTATCACAGTTGCGCTTTACTCATGCATGTCCGTTTGCTTTTGTATATAGGAAAAGGTACTAGGTAAGCGGAAAGAAGCCCATCGCAGACAGCAATATAGCTTCCGAGTGCCACTGAAAAGTAAAGGTTTGATTAGCAGCTTCACTTTTGCGAGGTCTTGTGTCGTGGACAATGATAATCATTACGCTAAAACATCTACTTATATGCAGCAGAAAATGGTTGTGCTACGATTAATGAGGTTTTTCTGCGACTTCGTGAGTTTATCGAGACGAAAGAAGAGCTTAAGCTTTCCGAGAACATTGCGAGTCAGCAGAACCAAGAGGAGGTCCTACAACAAGAATATCAAGAATCGCAAATGTATCGCTTGGAACAGCACAAGCTGGATCGACAAACATCTGGTGAGAATCGAACCAAAGTACATAGCGTCGGCCGAGTGGAAATACTTACATTGAATGACAGCAACAACGGTGGTTTTCAAGTCTTGGTTGTTTACGAAGAAGGAGAACGAGGGGCATTCTGGACAATAGCCAATATGCTTGAAGCAGCCATTATTCGGACAGGACGTCAGTGGAGAAGAAGAAAGCTTGAACGAAACAAACAGGATTGATTAAAAAAATACTGAGGTAGCAAAATCCATGAGTCCACGTCAGTGTATAGCTTTCTTTATACATTGTTACCTCGTCTACGCCTTATGCGAATTTGCGAGTATGACCAAGAAATAACCCTGAATGAGCTCCTTGAATCGATAGCATACCGGTATTTGTCTGACAATATACTGCCACTAGCAGATTCATTTGATCAAAAAGCGATTACTTTTGTGTTTTTTTACTCATTTTTTTGTAAATTAGTCCTTCCATTGATGTGGTACACCTAACAAACAATCAGCTTTATCTAGTATACATTATTATCCCAGTCATGGTGATGGTCGAGATTGGTGGCATTCCTGTCGACTTTCCATTCATACCATACAATTCACAGATTATTTATATGGAGAAGGTGATGTTAGCACTTACATTGAAACAGAATGCCATTCTTGAAAGCCCTACAGGCACTGGCAAGGTGTTTTAGAAAACGTAGAATTAGTTTGATGTGATTGATTGTATCTATTGTAACAATTATGGTAATTAAATAGTATTATGAGTATTATTGTAGACACTCTGTCTTCTCTGCGCGACATTAGCATGGCGTCAACACCGGCAAAAAATACTTAGCCAAACTGCTGTACGAGATGCGAATAAACGTCCTGAAGGCTTGTCATTGGCGTACGAAGGCAACAGCAGCGACAGTGAGGCACTACAGCTCCCAAGGATCATTTATTCGTCACGAACCCATTCGCAGCTGAAACAGGTGGTACAGGAGCTCAAGAATACGTCGTACCGTCCGAATATCGCGGTCCTTGGATCTCGAGAGCATTTATGCGTGAATGAAAAGGTGTCCAAGTTCCAGGGGATAAAACAAAACCTTGCATGTCGCTCGACCTGTAAAGACAGAAGGTGCATGAGTGAGCAGACATTTCTCAATTTCTCAATCTTGTTTTCTGTGCGAGGATCTGATTTCGGCTGGAATTACTTGCCAGATGTATGTACAAACTGGGCTTTGACTCATATGCGAAGCGGTTAAAGCAGCAAGCAGAGCCAATTATGGACATTGAAGAGCTTGTGACTACAATGAAGGAGAAGACGGTGAGTCGCTGTAAGTGTCAATGACGTAACACGAGCTGCTTTGTGTTTGACAGTTTTGGTGTCGGGTTACAGATATGCCCGTTTTTTATGACACGGTATATGATGTGTGAAGCTGAGATTGTTTTTGTGCCGTACAACTATCTCATTGACCCTTTGGCACGACAATCGGTCGGTATTTCCATCGAAAACTCAATACTGATCTTTGACGAGGCACACAACGTGGTACGAATGTGTTGGTGGTTTGTGTGGTTTTGCATCTTTTGATAAGATTATACTGGCTCCTAGGAATCGATTGCAAGCGAAGCTGCGTCATATACTCTTTCATCGAACGATATTTGTGGTTGCATTTCAGAGGTTGACACGTTTATGAAGGGGCTATTGAACCAAAGTATTCAGTTGAATGCGGGAAGCAGTCTAACAATCGAGGTATTGGGTAGTGACTGCGTTGAATCGTTGACCCTGTACAATAACTGAAAAATCCTGTGCTTTTGCAGTCGATCCAAACGTTGCGAGCTCTATTTATGGAAATTGACAGGGGGCTCAATAATTTTCCGGTGTCTTTGAGTGGAGGTTTTACAAAGGTACACAAGCGGAAAATCAATTGAAACAAATTGTAAGGTGTCTTACATCTTCGTAAACTACGAATCTGTAGCCGGGAGAGTACATTTTTGAATTCTTTGAGCAATTCAATGTAAATTTTGAGACGTGCCCGCTTGTCTTAAGCATGATTGAGGAGATTGTTGAAGTGGCGCACGGTGGCGATGATTCCCACAGAGCTGTATCAAAACTTGATACCATGCTCTCGTTTTTGAGCACAATCTTTTGGAGCAAAGAACAACATCTGATAGTAAGCTTGTGTGCATTTGCTCGAAGTCTTGTGTGCTGCCTCTGATGCTTGAATTTGTATTTAGTCAGCGAAATACTATCGAGTCCACATCCAAGAAGTACGAGAAAGGTATGTTTGCGATTCGTTGCGGCCTTGTAGATCGCAGCACCTTACCATGGAGTTTTTTTTTCTGTCTAGACTAGTAAATACTGGCCGCCTGTATAACGCTGATCGGAAAAACAAGACTACTAACCGCGTTTTTAACTACTGGTGCTTCCATCCTGGTGTTGCGTTCCGCGAAATCTGTTCCAACCTTGTTCACAATGTCATCTTGACGAGGTCTGTACTTTCAGTATTGTTCGCTTTCTTGGGGGCGCTGACAGCTATAATTGAATTGATCTGTCTGAGTTTAGTGGAACGCTTTCGCCACTGGATACAACGGTCAACGAGCTTGGCATCGATTTTCCGGTGCGGTTAGAGAACAATCACGTGGTCGACGCCGACCAAGTCTGGGTGGGTGTCGTGGGCACAGGCGTGACTGGAAAACGATTGAATTCCAGCTACAACTTCCGATCAACAGAAACTTATTTGTTGGAGCTAGGCAACACAATTGTGAATTTCACTCGTCTCGTCCCGCACGGCCTACTTATCTTTTTCCCTTCCTACTCGATTTTAGAAGAGAGCATTGATAAGTGGCGAGAACCTGCATTGAGCGAGTCATCTTTGTCAATTTGGGAGAGAATTGTCCAGCTTAAACAAACATTTGTGGAGCCTCGAGGTCGGGCAGAGTTTAAAGCCGTGGTTGACGAATACCACCAAAGTATCACCGACAATCCTAAAGGTGCAGTGTTTTTTGCCGTGTCGAGGGGAAAGGTATCAGTTTTGTTGCAGTGCTTTTCACAAGATCTTTCAGTCTCATCACGTTGTTGATGCATCTTGAATGTAGGTAAGTGAAGGTATTGACTTTTCAAATGATAAAGGTCGTGCTGTGGTCATCACCGGCTTGCCCTTTCCACCTACAAAAGACCCAAAAATTGTGTTGAAAAAGAGCATTTTGGACGAAGCGGTAGTGCCACCAGGGGAACTGGTCAGGAACGTTGACTTTGTAGCTGAATTTCAGTCTTAGTCTTATACCTTGTCCTTGTGTTTTCATTACCAGAAATTGACGGGAAACGCATGGTATATTCAACAAGCGTCGCGAGCAGTTAACCAAGCCATCGGTCGTGTCATTCGTCATCGCCACGATTACGGGGCTATTATACTGTTGGACGAAAGATTTGCATTGAAACAACAGCAGGAATGCCTATCAAAGTGGTTACAACCCTATTGTCACATATTCAAAGGATATGGTAAGTGTGCTGTCTTATTGACTGGGAAAAACGTCAGAGGTTTTCATGCTGCTATATTTTTCTAGGTGAAGCACATATTGGTTTAGCTCGCTTCTTTAAGCGCAACAAGGCAAGAGCGGTACCCGAGTCATCTGGAAAGAAGCTTTTTCAGCAGCCAAAATTGATTGGATTGTCCAAAAGAACGTTGTTAACAGCTTCCAAAGTATTGTCCGACAGCGAAGGAGGTCAAACGAGTCTGCTGATAAATGCGTCACAACTGTCCAATTCTCACCCTTCTATTGGTGTTGGGCAATCATATGTAAACCCACAACTTCTTCAACACCCACCAGATCCATTGGAGGCAGCAGGTGCGTCTGGTAATGGTTACTAGTTTATAGTGAGGCATTGGTTGCTAATCGATTTCAGTTGGCATATGATGTTGAAGCAGAACCTAGAACGTGTGCTCTACCAGCTCCTGTAGCTTCTCATCAGAAACGCTCGCTAGGGTCGCTGTTAATGTCCACATCTAAATCAGCAATGGTTGACATGACGTCGTCAATTTCTCGCCCATTTACGGCGCCGAAGATGGCGAGCAGTAAAAGCTTTGCTGGTTGCGCTATCATTGGTGATGATAACGATGCAGAGTCGTTGCAGAATGTAAAGCACCAGTTTATGGCGAATGTTGCTGTTGCGAAAGTAGACAAATTTAGTGTGGAAACGTCTACAGCCGAATTTCCTGCAGTGGTAAGAAAAGTGCTTCAACCTTCAGACGTGCCGAAACTGTACAGCTTCATTCGACAGCTGCAGTCAGGTGAAGAAGTGGATTCGTCACTTCGTGGGATCTGCAATCTACTCCGTGGTCCTGCTTGCAAAGAGCTACTGAAATTGATGCCGAAAGTGTTGAATGGTACAATGTGCGAACAGTTCATTGAGGCGGCCAGGAGTCATGGGCTAGAAGTATCAGTACGTGATAAAGCTCAACGAAGCTATACTGAAGTGCGAGCGTCAGACATGTCAACATTATTTGAACGACTTCAGCAAAAGAAGAGGAAGACTTCTCATGGCAATATTATAACAGGAGCTGTTGTTAAAGATCCGCAATGCTTTGTGTGCTACGATATCGCGCGGAAGGCATATGCGTCACCGCAATGCGGTCATATTTGCTGCCAACCTTGTTGGAAAAAGGTGATGACACAATTATGCTGGCTTGTGTTTTGCTAAGAAGTTGGTGTAATCTAATTATGTTTATCGCTACTTTGATTGCGCAGATGGAGAAGGACGGATTTACATCCTGCCCAGTGTGCAAGGTCCCAATTAAACTACAACAGCTGAGCTTGATTCGGGCAGCGAAAGATTCCTCAGGTCGCAATGCTTAATTTTGACTTGGGACGCGAGCGACTCGACTGAAGAGACATCGTCTCGTCACTTTACGAATCATCAAGTGTGGTGAGTAGGCAGTTTAAAGAATTGTCAATGGACCTTGTGATTTGTGTATTGGTTTTTGATTCTAGCACAGACGCTCAAGGCTAGTGTATTTATCCAGGGTGCACTCAATGCGAATTATTACTTCCAGATGAACGTTTCCATGAATCTCGCGCTGCTGTTCGGTTACATGTGACGCTTCAAAAAATATGCGTGACATTTTGGTCCAGCATCCGTTTTGTATTTGTTGGAGTCTGAAAACACAAAACCGTCTTGAACAGTCTAACGTGGCGCTATTTTTAACGGATGAATCCGTTAGTGACAACGATATTAATAGTTAGTCAGCGACAGCATTGTCAATGTCGAACGACAGCGCTTGTCTTGGGCAACTAGGCTTAGCAGATTTTGTGGACCAGTCTATCCGTCAATAGCCAGGGTAGTCGTTTCTAGTCGTTTTGAACTACCTGCTCCTTGACTGTGGTGACCGCTTGTTGCATCGACTGACATCTTCGCCTTCCGACCTTGGTACGTTACCCCAACGAACCGGCGATGCGGACCATTAACTCACTTCTCGACTTCCCGGCTATACGGCGAAGCTTTCTACAGTCACGCCTCTCTAGCTAGCTGTACTCCACCTAAACGTTTGGTAGTGTTGCAATTGACACACCTTAAAACGTAGCTGTCCACTCGACTCTCTCATCATTTCATATCTTCAAGATGTTCTTTGCCAATAGTTTTGTTGAAACGGACCGACGAGCGTCGACCACCGAAGAGAATGATATTCTTTGTGAGCTTTTGCTGGATAATGATTTTGTGTCACCACGACAGTTCCAGTCCGCACCAGGAAAGATGTTTGAAGAATATAGTGAAAGCAGTAATGTAGCTACAACACCAGGAATTTCAAAGCGCAGCAACCCACAAGTAGGCGTGTCGTTTCCACAACTTTGCTTCGACAACTCGCCTCGATTGACACGTTTGCAACCTTTGTCCAGTCGTAGCTGTGCAACCTTTCACTCACACCAATCGGCTTCTGCCGTCAACGCAATCATCTCTCCACCGCGCGTATTCGTGCAGGACTTTGCTCGTCTTCCTCAACCGTTTTTTCATGACAACTTGTCAATTGATTCAGACATGTGTGGGATGAAAGTAGAGAAATCCACAATGTCGTTTCTAACGTCTTGTCTTCCTCCTGCACCACTGCCCATGTTGTCCATGCCGCCCTACAAGAAAAAAAAAATATTCGGTGGCCGCCAGTTCGTCAAGCAATGAACGGAAACAACTGCGTTGCACGCACCCGGACTGCCCAAATCTTCGTCGGTCAGCAGGGTTCTGCAATCGACATAGTGGCAAGGTGTGCAGTATGTCTGATTGCAACAAGTCTGCGCTCAGTCGAGGAAAATGCCCTGAGCACGGTGGTGGCTCGCGCTGCAAGAAAGATGGATGCTCCAAGTTTGCCCAGACTCGCGGACTGTGCAAATCTCATGGCGGCGGTCGGCAGTGCAATATCAGTGGCTGCACCAAGAATGCACACCAGAATCGATTATGCCGTTCGCACGGTGGTGGCAAGCGTTGTGACTACTTTGGTTGTCCTAAGTGGGCGCAACGTTCAGGGTTTTGCTGCGCCCACACCAAAATGAGTACTAATGGCATTTCACCACCAAGTGGCGACTCCCAACGTTCTCACTCCAATATGCCAACGCTAGTCACGTCGTCACCAACTTCATCTTTCTCTATGCTTCCCGTTCCTTTGCCGTCGCCGACGTTGTTGTCTCCGCATCGTCTTTTTTCCTTGTTCCCGTAACTCTTCTTGACTGATGCCAGTAATTCAACTGGAAGTAACTACCAAGTCCAGATCCTCAAAAATAACGGAAGAGGGTACTCACGTTAAAGTACTGTAGAGTTCTCATCAGCAACACTGCTACAAAATTGGTTAGTACACTGAATAAGCAAAAACGTACGCAACGAAATCAAAAACACATCATTTGACGAGCAAAAAATACACGTCTGCAGTTATCCAATTAACGCAGATTCAATGGAACGTTTTGTATACACCCCAGTCTCGAGCAGCTTTTGTCGCAAACTTGTTCCCTCTCTACCTCCTTTCCATTCTCATCAACAAGTACTCAATACTCTATCCATTTCCAATAACCGTTGTCCTGTCATTTTGTCGATACATTTACACTGGGGTAAGAACTCCACGCTCGACAAGATCGGGTACTTCTGCAGCAAGCCATGGGGCCAACTACATATCACCAAGCACAAACAACAAGCAATAATAATACTTTCAAGTCAGACACACAAACAATCTCTCTTCTCTCTCTTTCTTTACACTATGCCTTCATCACTTGTTCTATATCAATTAAATTCCATACCCCAAGTGCAAGAGCATGAGCAATACCAAAACGTGGTACATTCCTTTGCCAAAGTGGTGCAAAATGAATTGTAAGACAGATTTTTCCTCCTCGATACATTTTTGATGTCTTGCCTTCAAGTTCTGGAATACAAAGTTCTGGATTTGCCACTGGATAAGTTGCTGGAATGTCGAATTCAAGATCAAATTCATAACGTAATCCATTGTAAAACGACCAACACTTTCCTCTCCATTGAGTCCCAACCTTGTTACTTTCAATTGTAAACCAGTCATTATCTGCTTCTTTATTCATTTTTACATATTGAATAAGCGATACATATTCTTCTTTTAAACGTCTTGTCCATTCTTCACCATCACGTGGTCCTGCACGTGTTGTTAATAGCGGAATCTCCTGCACCGTACGCTTTGTCTTGTCATCAAGAGGCTCAGCCATTCGTTTTTTTGTCCTTGCAATTATTGAAATGGCAAAAACTGAAGAGAGGGAGGGAGTGACCAATTGGAGCTCCGGATGATTCGAAAAAAAAGATCAGAACCTTCTTTTGCTTTCTTTTCACATGAGATTTGTACAAGTAGATACATGCATCGTGTGTGACACATTAGACAAGGACAAAACAGCCGCTACAAACAACGACGATGCATTTTTGATAGTATCTAAACGATAGCAAACCGTTGGTAGACAAAGCATTGGGTTATGGTTCTTTTTGACTCATCCAAGCCAGAAAAGCACCAGCTATTGGCGACGACGTTTGCAAGCACTAGCTGACGTGATAGGAATCTTTTTAGATTCCGATTCCTTGTCTTCGTCGTCATCAGTCTCAGTCTCATTGTCGGCCTTGTTATCAGCTTCAAGATCAGCCTGGCCAGTAACCTCAAGATCAGCCTCGCCAGCAACCTCAAGATCAGCTTCGTTGGCTACATAATTACTTGACGGAGTCTTTTTGACACTGATGCCTTTCACCGTCGTTCCAATGGTACCAATACGGATATTGCTAAAGTGAACGCTAGCATCTGCCTGCGCAGCAATGACCTCCTTTGGGACACCTGATGTAGTATCGCACGTACCACGTGAGACACCGGGTTTGGACGAATCGGCCGTCGTGGGGTAGTCCGAGTCCAACCACAAGCACTGAGCCACGTTGTCTGTCCATAAACTCATGGTCAACACCATGCCGCGCTTCATGGAAAGACCCAGTTGCTTAAGGCCACCCTTAGCCGCGTGGTCATTTTTATCACCGAAAAACTTCTTGGCTGCATTGCATTTCTTGTCCGTTAAAGAATTCATGCTCTTGACGGGCGAAAAGGTAGAGTGAGGCATCTCGTGGGTCACACCATCCTGCACGTAGAAGCGAGTGATTTCAATCAAAGTGCCCTCCGCCGTGTTATCGTCCGTGATAAATCGAGTCACCACCGTGAACTTCTTCGTCGTATCGATCGTATATTTCGAACCTCGGCCGAAAAACGTCAGGTTACCCATACGGTACGGGTTAAAGTCGCAGCCATCCTTGTCACACACACCTTCGTAGCGTGCCTTATCAACACCACATTCCTTGTCACTCATGCAGCGGTAAGCTCCGGCAGTCTTTGTTGATGAGGTGCATGGGTGGCTCGTGTATGCGTTACTGATACTATTTGCCTCCAAGATATCCATCTCGTCACAGCACGAGCCGTACTTGCCGGTGCCGGCGTTGGGGTCCGTCTTGCTCGGTACCCAATCAAGAATGTTTGCTTCTCCACTAATGAACTTGATGTCTCGCGGGCATTGGGCATCGCAGTATCCAGTGCCGTATTTTGCACCTGCCTTATTGCTGGGGTACCGCTTTGATCCACCATCAGCCTCCATCCCAACAAAGTATAGAGCACCGTTAAGACCACAATTAAGTTCGGACACATCCACGTCGAACGTGAACTCTTTATTCAGTAGCTTGTATAGCTTGTAAGTCTCGTCAGAGTCCATGACGTACACACGGGAACCAATATTGGTACTGTACGGACCATTAGTCACCAGTTTTAAGCTCAAGCTACTAGCCTCAGTCTTGATCCCATACGTTCCAGTGTAATCAGCTCCGTCAACCGCACAGCTTGATGCGCACGTCTTTGGGTCCGTGCAGATAGTCTTGTCCCATTTGTTGCCAGTGTAGCAATTGGTTGAAGTGCCCTCTTTGTGCACCCAGCGCCAATTAGAGTCTAGCACGATAGAAGTGGCCTCATTAGTGCACCCACTTTTGGTACAGGTTTGGGTCTTTAGTGGAGGATGAACTTCGGCCGTATTAGAACCGGCCAGCTGAGCGTTTGTGGTCATAGCAGAAAGCAAAGCCATCGCAGTAAGGGCCACAAGACGAAGCGCACCGGGTGTCTGCATTATTGAATTGACGACGAGGAAGCGAATTGATGACGATGAGGATTAGTGAAGGTAAATTGAATTGTGAGTGACTGACTGTCAATCATTTATTTACATCTTGAGACACATAGATTCGTCAGGTGCTGAATGCAATTTCCGTGACACAAACTGTACGGACCAGTGTGTGTAAAGGAGTGATATTGTCCACAAATTGACCATCCGTATTAGGATAATATACTTCCAGCTGGTTTTCCAAATTTCAGTTGATCGCCGAGTCAATCCTTGACCTACAGATGTTACCACATATCAAAGCAATAAGCTCAGATCATTTGGTTATAGAAGCGTCGAGTATCAGAGACAGGAATTCGACATTAAATCTTGACTTGAATATACCAGTTTTTAGTAAGAGAGTTACAACACATCGAAAGCAACATGGCAGTGTAATGAACCGTTTTTCACACAGTTAGGCACGAATAGCGGCGCGTTGACTCCAGATTTATGTGCTCTGCACGATTGCACGACACAAGTCGTGTGCAGAAGAGGATCGGAATGTACTCAAAGCATGACAACCAACTTGAAGCGATAAATGTCGTCACCTCGTTAATCGTGAAAATGGTAGTTTTGTATAGTTTGTCACAGGTTCTTTGCTATAGCTGCAAGAAACCTTACCTATGTAAGAAGAAGACCACACACATGTGCACACATGATCGTATGAATTAGCATACTTGACGCGTTGTCTTTGCAGGTGTACAACAAAATCGGTCTTATGTGCGAAATGCTGTACCCGAAATTCTGCTCGAATGGAAGCTTTACAATCCCCTATATATACTATAATGGGGCAGTATTGTATGTATGTGATGTTTATATAACTAGTTTTGCAAAAAACGTTATGACTAGTAAAAAGGTATTTATTACTCGTCGTATTAGAAGCAAACCAAGCATAAAATACTATTGTGATTTGGAGTTCACGATTGAGCATTTATTCACATGTGTTGAGCTTTTGGATTTCAAGAGAGCAGAGGCAGAATCTAGGATGAGACGGGATGGGACATTTTGCTGTCGCAGGCAGTTTGATAACATTATCATATCAGCGTGGGTATTATCGAACCAAGCTGTTCATCTCCAGCGATGGGCAAAAGATCTCTGGGAGGTTCATTTTATGTAAGTTTCCAGCTCATATGGACAACTTGAACCCTCGTTTAAGATATTGAGCGCTGCGTGTTCAATAGTGTATTTCTTTAGTCAAGAATACGCATGTGTTTTTTATCTGTCTATATAGTAGAAATAGTCGTACGTAATGTTGCTTATTTGTTGAATGTACCCTGACTCAATTGGATACCATTCATGCTCATCTTTGCAACGGACAGTTTCGTCATAAGCAGCTGTTCCTTGGTGATGAGATATGGCTCTGAATCCCGATCCAAGCTTGATGACCTTTCTCAGCCATTACATAATATATGTTGCATACAATGCTACCGCGACACGCTTCCAACATGTGGCACCGATAAGTGGTAGGAAAAAGGGCGATGCTGGAACAGCGTCTGGACGCGATTTGTAAGAGCCATTTTGACTAAGTATAATTCATATCAGTGGCATAGAAAAAAGCGCACGGACTCATATTTTCAGAATCACTACCCCAAGTTCGTGGACCAAAGGAGTTGTAACAACATATAGAGAGATAAGGAGAAAAATGAGGGCAGAAGGTCATGCGATGTCCAATCAAAAAAAGTCAATGCTGACGCTTGATGGGCCGCGCAAACTCAGCTGTGACTTCTCCCTCGATAATCTTACCAAGACGACATGTACATCTCTTACCACAGTAACAGATTTTATTAAACTACATGTCTAACCCTACGGTTGCTCAGGACAACCTGCACCAGGTACCCGCAATTGAATATCTTTTACCAGCGAGTCCGAAAACTTCTGTCCATCCATAAAAGATTTCATATGCAAAATAGGTTGCACGCCAACGTCCGTAACGGTCTTTCCCCGGATGAGCTCGCTGTATTTCTGTGGATGAAACTTTGCCAAAGTATCGGAACCGTTCGAGCTCGCAGACACGCCTTCGACCACGCGAAACAAAGCATCGATGTCGTTCATTTTCATAAACGGGCACGTGGCACAGCCACCCGCAGAGGAGCATCCTTCACCACCAGCAACACCAGGAACCAGCTCATCACCTTCCTTAGCAACAGCATCTGCCGACACGGGGAAAATGATTTCAACCTCTGGCTTCACACCACCTTGTCGCACATTCAGCAGCTCCTGTACGCCTCGCACGATAGCTGTGATCATACCAGCCTCTGTTCCTAGCACGAAACTAAGCTTTTCAACAGACTGATTTTTCAGTGCCTCCACCGTCTTGGCCTTAATGAAGTTGAGGATGTTTGACGTAGAGCCAACAACACCACGACCCTTATTCTGCGCCTCCATCGCCAGCGTAAACATTTCACCAGGCACTTCAAAGTGAGCCGTGTAATAGGCATAGCCATATTCGTCACGAACACGTTGTGACACCTTGTCTCCAAACATATGGTGCACGACGCAGTTACCTTCTTTAAAATAGTCGAACCGCGTGAGCAACTGAGCAATGGTCCTCTGGTTGTGTTGCGGATGAATTTGAAAGATCTTTTCATCCGGAAGCTGCGCAATGTGTTCAAACATTTGCTGCAAGTTCTCACCCATGTACGTGTCGGGTCCATACCAAACATTAATGTCTGGAACCTGTGCAAACGCCTGCAATACCGTCTGCACCACGTTCGAGGACGTGCAAGTAATCGTCGGCACCAAATCATGAGCAAAAGCCTTGCTACGCAGCGACGTGTTAATGTACACAATGTGTAAGCTATTAGACATCTTGGCAGCCTTTTGCAAATACGCGAGATACGCCTGCTTTTCAGCCGACTCAGCCAAGCTGCAGCCAATCTTCTGCTCTGCCAGACGATACACCGGGATGTGCTCAAAATTATTCGAGTCCAAGTTTGCACGCACACTCTCCGACATAAAATCAACACCTAGCACAGCCACCGACTGGACACCCTCCTTGACCATCTTTGCTGCAGCTTCTCCCATTGCCAACGAGTCGGCAATGAATGTGTGCGGCCAGGATAACGACGATAGGATTCCCTGGAGCTCCGGGTCCATGTAAAAGTGCGCGACAATTCCCATCTTCTTCTCGTGTAGCAGCGCATCCAGTTCCTCAACTACTTGCATATCAGGCTTCAAGTAATTAACTTGCGCCTCAGCAAATGAGCCCTGGGCAGACACTCCCTCAGCGGTAATCTAATGACCATCACTTTAAATTAGTATCGTTTGCATTGTATAATGTAACAGAGAAAAGAAGATAAGACGCACTAGAATCGAGGGGAAGGGACGGTCCCATGATGCAGCAAGTGAAGCAGGCGCAGTGGAATGCAAACGAGCAAGACGTGCGACGGGCAAGCGCAAACGATGAGAGAGCTGCAAGGCGGTGCGCATGTTTTTTATTACTTGTCTTTTGTATAACAGAGGGGGTGAAGATTGCGGAATACAGAGTGATGGTCTGTCTACTAAAAGGAGAAATGCAGAAGTGAAAAGATAGAGAGAGAACTGCTGACGGAATGGGTTCAATACAAACTTGAAATGTAAGCAGCTGATCGCGTTACAAGACGAATGGGTGGAAATAAACGGTGGATTTATCCAGCGAATAGTCAGCTCCAAATCAGAATCTGGCTCTGTGACAAACACTGACGCCAATTGGTTCTGTAACAAACACTGTGACGTCGTTTGACTGGTTATACTGTGTTTGTTGAGCTTTGCTTCGACTACTCAGCTGGCTATGCTTGCTAATGCAACTATCACGTAGACCTTGAGCAGCCCAAGAACGACAAATCTATATGATGGAATATGCATGGGCTATGACAGGGACGGGCGATCCTCGCAAAGAGTCAACAGGCAGACTGTTGCCTTGACAGATAACCTATTACTACGGATGCGAACGGGCAATGGACCACTCCACTATATCGTGTGCAACCTTCCATCCTTCTGATGGTCACGAGATTTTGAACATGACATTATTGGAGTACGACAGGTGGCCAGGTAAAAGACTTATCACATTATCCTTCCGTCAACTTAATGGACCATCATTTACGATGAGTCTCCAAAATACATCAACGTCATGTGATGTAACATCTACGTACTTGACAGAGCTTGAATGTTAAGCTTAAGGTCCGTTGAGAAATCTGAGCAGCTAGCTTAATAGATTTTAACGTCGTTATAAGTAATGTACACTGAGTTTTGCAATTGAAAGCGTGCCGCTCCCACACGTTGTTTTGTTTGATACATCAGGAAGCAGTCATTTCAATGCTCTGTGACTATGTATTGAAACTGGTCATTTTGTCTTTCTTCTATTTACGAGACGATATAAAACATTCGTTATGGAACAAAAGTTAAACTCAAAACTCAGTCTTCCATTGCCAGAAATAATGATATTTACACAACTACACATTGATAGAGGTAAAATGAACTCATCATAACGAATATTATGTATTCTCATATGTTGAGCAATTCTTTTGTGCTATTTGTACTCAATATTTGCTCTTGATAGATGACAGAAAATAGCGATTCAGAAAGCGAGTACGAAATTCTTTACCCTGGAAACGAGGCCACCCAAGAAAGACTAATCAATAGTAAGTACTGCTGCTAGTATATACCCAATAGCGATATTCTGTCCGAGTATGTGCTGCTCTTTGTAGGAGTTTCACCGTGCACATGGTACCGCAGATTGCAATTTCGCTGGTGGAGCGATTCACGGATGTTCGCTTTAATTGGACTACGAAGACGTTGCAGTCCTTCTTGGAGGTTGTTTACTGGAGCAGCGTCACATGTGAGACCTACTCACTGTATGGAGACGTGCATTTTTCGTTGGAAGTCTGCACTTTCGTCGGTGCTATGATGTCGGTCTGCGACGAAGTTGTGCTGCAATTCGTGCGCAGTTTGGCTCATGCGATACGCAATCAATCAGGACGTGGAATTTTGTTGCAACAACTTGTATTGACGTGCGAAAGAATGGCAAGGCATCGACAGACGGTCAGGAGATTTCTCTCATTAAGAATCTGGTGTTCGGGTACTTTGGTGTCGTGGCGGTGCGCTCGTTGTGGTAAAACTTTTGCGACGTGAAGCTTTTTGCATTGCTGACGGTATTCACGGGAGTAGCTTTTGTAGTAAAAGCCGAGTTATTCTCGCTTTGGCTACCAACGCGACGTGCAGGCTTGACACTGCAATCGCGGTTTTTCGAAGGTAAGACAGAACTGGCAGGATCACGGTTTGCGGTCTCTCATCGAGATACTTTGCTAGATGCTGTCGACGAGCTACTTGTACTACAACTCGGAGGATTTTTTTTTGGGCCTTTCGGGTTGGAACATTGGTCACAGTTAGTGTGAGTCTAAGCTCAGGACTTGATCATCTTGAAGACATTGACAGGAATCAGATCGAAAAGAGCGAGTATGGATATTGGGAAGAGCAAGTACTAGATGATCCATTCATGGTGCTGGCGTGTCGTTTGGTGAAAATTCAACACGCACTCAAGTCATTCGGGCATGTAGTTGAGATGGAGGCCATGGATGTGTACGAAAATTTGGCGAGTAAATAAAGAGAGTCGGGGTTTAGATTAAACAGGATTGACTTTGCGGGCGATTATCGACGTCCTGATTACCTCTGTTCCCTCATCACGATGTGACACTGAAGCACAGCGATGCTCATCGATCGTTCATGTGTTTCAGCTGTTTCTTACGATTGTTGTGTTGTGAATGCTTCTTAGTTTTGAATATGGCCCGATCATTTCCGTCCAATCGTGGTGTGTATACATTTAGTGTTACAGCAGCTTGTCTGTCATTAAGGCAAAATGGCCCCAAATACGGACGCAGTCGCTACTTATTCAACGGCCCAGCAAGTGCACGTACGAAACTGTCACATTAACGAGAGGGATTGCGATGTGCAAATTTCACATCGGACTTACGTGCTCACCGAAAGAGCGTGAGAAGGTGATTACTACCTTTGGTGATGTCAAATTCTTTATCACGGGTGGTAGCGCTGAGCGCATGATCAGCTTTGCTCATTCAGTTGCTATGGCATTGAATATTGCCCCGCCGTATGGCTATGCGCTGTCTCCCATTGGTAGTACTTCACGCTACGCGCTGTATAAAGTGGGTCCTGTGCTTGTGGCAAATCACGGCATTGGTATGCCGTCCATTTCCATCTTACTACACGAAGTCACCAAATTGCTTGAGTACGCTGGCGCATACGACATTACGTACATTCGCATGGGTACAAGTGGTGGAATTGGCGTCGAACCTGGTACTATTGTCATCACGTCCGAGGGCATGAACAACAAAATGGAGTGTGTGGATAAGGTAGCTGTATTGGGCTCCATTGAGCTTCGACCGTCCATCTGCTCACCTGAAGCGCGCAAAGAGATCATTACTGCGGCCAAGGAGGTTGGGATGCCCTTGAAGTGGGCAAAACACTCAGCTGCAATGACTTTTACGAGGGTCAAGGACGACTGGATGGCGCCATTTGCGAGTATACTCTGGAGGACAAGATGGCGTTTCTACAAAAGTTAGCCGCCGTTGGCGTCTGCAACATTGAAATGGAGGCGCGCTTCATGGCTGGTTTCTGCCACAAGCTCAATATTCCCGTGGCGGTGGTGTGTGTGACCTTGTTGAACCGCCTCAACGGTGACCAGGTACTTTTGAGCCATGAAACGCTGCAGGCTTTTGAGATGCGCCCTGCTACTGTGCTGCTGCACTATATTAAGACAAAGCTTTGTTCAGCAAAGATAGCTTAAAGATAGACGGTGAATGGATGAGGATGGTGATCAAGAATAATATACAGTTGACAGCCAACGTCAACAATCGAACGTAAAGCCAATCGACGTTAGATTATCGACGCTAAGCTTGACTCTTAAATCTTGCAGCGCAGGAACCAGCTGTGCTTTCTATATGCGACAGTTTAATTTAGTAGAACCCGGTGATAAAAATGTATCCAAATGGCAACATTCATGCTGTTTAATTTATAATAGGGCTTTGAACCTTATTTTATTGCATGTTTCTATTTCTATGCAGGATTTACTACTCCACATTGCAATGAAACATACTCAATGTTATACAAATTTAGTATTAATTTCCAAAGGACCTTAAGGAACTATCCACGTATTATGTGTACCACATGCACAAATCTTCTCCACGAACCCATGACGAAGTCGATTTTAATGCGCCGTGGAGTCCGAGGTTTTAACTTCCAATACATCACTCTAACCCAACGGTACAATGTATGGTTACATCATACCAATAAATTGTATTCTACTAGTACTACAAGTAGTAGTATTACGACCAGTACGTTTTCTTTCTCATTCTCTCGTGTTTCATTTAGAAATAAAACTTCATACGAATCTAATTTAGAAATGTCTTGATAGAAATGGAATGGTTGACAAAACGTGACCCTTATTGTAATATTAGTGACTCCATTGCTGCTAAAATTGGTCTTAATCTACATTGTAGACGTAATCATCCACTCTATATTCTTAGAAAGAAGATTGAAAGCTATTTTGATAAACTCCATGAGAAGAAAAGGTCAGTGAGTCTGTCGATGACAGCTGTCGATATTGAACGATTACATGATGTTATGATGTATGTGAATGGATACTAGAGCTCCTGTTTTCACTGTCTTTGATGATCTGGATCCAGTTGTGACTACATACGACTGTTTTGATTCCATGCTCGTGCCACAAGATCACGTTAGTCGAAAGATTACAGACACGTATTATGTTGATAAACATCGTGTATTGCGTGCACATACAAGTGCACATGAAGTGGCAATGATGAAAAAGGGATATACATCGTTTCTTATCTCAGGTGATGTCTACCGTCGTGATGAGATTGATGCAAGTCATTACCCAGTATTTCATCAGATGGAAGGTGTACGCATTTATTCAGAGCTTGATACAGCAATGTCACGTCATGACAAGGTGACGTTTGTGAAAGAAAAATTAAAGAAAACACTGGAAGGCATGACAAAGGAACTCTTTGGGGATGTGGAAATGCGCTGGGTAAAAGCGTATTTTCCTTTTACGGATCCGTCACTTGAGCTAGAGATTTTTTTCAATGGGGATTGGCTTGAGGTGCTTGGATGCGGGGTCTTGCAGCAGGAGATTGTGCGCAGCGCTGGCCTGGGTGAGAACGTCGGTTGGGCCTTTGGTCTTGGTCTCGAACGCCTTGCCATGGTACTCTTTGATATCCCGGATATTCGTCTCTTCTGGTCCCAAGACAAGCGCTTTTTGTCGCAATTTAAGGACGGTCAGATCACCAAGTTTAAGCCGTACAGCAAGTACCCTGCTTGCTTCAAGGATGTGAGCTTCTGGCATGATGCTGATTTCCACGAAAACAACCTATGCGAAGTTGTGCGCGACATTGCTGGTGATATGGTTGAGCGAGTACGCACGCTTCATCACTGTTTTGATCAACCCGTCGAGTATTGTAGCGCTAATGGGTGTCGTTTATTTGCTGCAGGTGGCTGTCGTGGATGAGTTTACGCACCCGAAGACTCAACGCCAGAGCAAATGTTACCGCATCACGTACCGTCACATGGACCGCAACCTGACAAATAGCGAGGTTGACGACATTCAGGTATGATCTTGCAGCAGTATTGGCAGTGTGCAAAGCCAGTGTGCAGCAGACTCACTATTATCTTTTTTGTAGGCGATCGTGCGTGGCAAAATCGTGAAAGATCTTGGTGTTGAGCTCAGATAGATTGCACAGGCCTGGTACTAGCTGATTTAGATGTATCCAGGCGCTTACAGGTGTTATGTGCTAAGGTTCGATAATGATGAGATAATCAGCCAGAGGAGAGGCTAGCTTGGCTCAGTTTTTGAGATTTTACACGCACTAAGATCGAAGCTGCTGGTTCCTTGTGGATATGCTTGTTTGACAATGGAATCATAACTTTAGACTAGTCTTGTGCTGAGTATCTGTTGAAATGCATTCAGCGAGTGAAGATTTGGTCGCACCGAAGACAAATTTTTGACACGAAATATTACATATAGCTTACGTTGAAGTTTTGAAGAGCACGGTACCAACATGAAGTAAGCGTTGAGATACCTGTGAACTGTAGCTGAAGGCTGGAAGCGGAGATATAGAGACAAATCAAGGAATGAGGCGCATGTAACGTGCATGATGACAAGTTTTGGAAAAATGCAAAAACTTCTACATTCACGCCTTCTTCTCTTCTTCGTTCTTCTATCAACAATTGCGATCTTTGTTGCAAAAGTGAGCTGCTAACACGTTCAAACGTGCAGCTTGTTGCATCATTGACACAATAGCCTACAAAAGGCTGTTTTGACAGACATCATCCAAGTCTTCCAACAACGCCTATCTCCAATATTCTCCAGATCCGCCCATGTATCCTCCATTGTTTGGCTGTGGGTGCTGCGGGTGTTGCGGGTGTTGCGGGTGCTGCGGGTGCAGTGTGGGGTCAAAGCCTAGCTGCCGACCACCAAGAGGAGGTAACCCAATGCCATTCATGCCACTATCCGGCTGACCCATGGCAGAAGCAGGATATCCTGCTGAATTGAACGCATTCATATCCTGTGGAGTGCCGTAGTTGCCAAATTGGTCGCCATAATACCCCGCAGAAGCACCGTAATTGTAGCCTCCAAATCCCATTGACATACCGCCGGCATTCGCGTTAGCGATATTAGCATCCTCCGAGTCAAACCCTTGGTGATACTGCTGCTGAGGAGGACCCAAGTGATGCATCTGCATTTGTTGCTGAGCTCGATATAGGTCTTGGTATGTGGGCTGCTGCAGTTGTTGGTGCTGCATTTGGTGCTGCCCCTGTAACTGTTGGTTCTGTTGGCTTACAACCTCTTTCATTATGTCTTGTGTAGAGTGAAAGGCGGCATTCAGCAATGCCTGCGTTCCATCGGGGACGTAACCTTCCTCCTTCCCCACAACCGGAGCAACCTCAGCACGCTGAACGCTGTCTACCACTGGCATCGGCTGTTGAGAATACTGCTGCGTCAATTCGTCCAACCTAGCTTGCTGGTGCATCGCAAATATATCAGCAGCAATGGCAGCGTGTTCATCATTGACAGAAGCCGATGTAGCAACGGCATCTGCAGCCCCGCCTTTCAAATCTAAACCAGCAGCCACACCCGCTGGAGCTGCATCAATCTTTTCTTTCTCCCTCGCTTTTTCTTTTTCTTTGGCCGCCAATTTCTGCTTCTTCCGCTCCTCCGCCTTCTGGGCCTTCTCCGACTTGATCTGCTTCACCTCGTTAATGTCAATCATTGAAATGCGACTTCTCTGTCTTTTAAACCGTCCCGCATCGGCCTTGCGTCGGATCTCCGACGACAGCTTCGCCATATTCTTCTTCCCCGCTGGAGGTTTTACAGCTAACTGTGTCAACCTTGTCGAGACCGACGTCGTCGTTGCAGCCGCCGAAGCCGCCATCGCACTTGACGGTCCCAGTGGCCGTGCCATATGCGGCCGATGCAGCGGTTTCTTCAAAGGTGATACGCTCACTTCGTCCTCCTTGCCATTAACATCGTCATCCTCTCCGTTCACTGTAAAGTGCGTGGCAGCTGTTAGCGCCACTGCAGGGCGTAACGACGGATTCAATAGAGCGTTCTCAAGTGAGAAAAAATCATCCAACGCCACGTACGTCGTATCGCTGCTGCTGCGACGTGTCAAAGGAGGTGAAACGACGGTCTGGATCACTTTCGAAGTCGCTGCTTCCAGCTGTGCGTGAAGATACGAGTCAGCAGGACGACCAATAGCTTGAAGCATTAGAAATTGCTTGACAATACCAGCGCTGACCTTGACCCACTCTTCAGTATCTTGCTCTGCTACTATTAGCAATGTCTCCGTCTCTTTCTTCCCTGTAGTGCCAGTAACATCCACTTCATCCTGACGGACGCTTAACAGTGACAACAATAGACGGACCTACGTGTGAAGTAACAATTAATGTTTAAAACAAATTTAATGCATATTTCTAAAACTTATACAAATGGGTACATGTTTCTAATCAAGTCGTTACCTTAATAGGTGTCTCTAAGTGTGGAAAACTAGCACGCGCTTCAGCGAGCTTCGATGGTGTTAAAAGACTGCCAAAATCACATGAACTCCATTCCAGACGAAGTTTTTGTAGCAGCCACGTATCAAATGATGATGTTAGGTCTGTACGACCACCAGGAATTGTCACTGCGGCCGTCGTTACGCTTCCTTCTGTCATTATTATCACGTCGGACTTTTTTTCAATACCGGTTTTTTAAGTAATCCTGTGCAGTATTTATTTCTATTTCAAAGTTCTTTTGACGTCGAGCCTAACTTTGGTCACACAAACTCGACCCGACTCAACTGTCCTTTGTATCTATCGGTCTCCTCCTTCGCATCCAAACTCGAGGTTTTGTTCTTCTTTATCATCTAATGTCCGACGCAAAGTTTGCTGCCTCTCTTTCCTTGCGTGCACCAGACGCGTCGTTTTAGCAATCCCCCATTATCGTACAGCGCTCTGCTCCAGTCGGTTCTTACGAGCATATCTCGCCAACATGGCTGCATTACCCGACGTGCCTCCCGTGTGAATGTAAAGCAGCTCTCGTTCGCCTTTGTCACCGAACACGTGCCCTGTTGAAGTCACACTGGTCACCTTGCCACGCTGCAGCACTTTATCGAGCACACTTTTGTCCGAGAATAGTGTATGCCAAGCGAAAGCTCCGTACACGAGGTCAAATTCCACCTTGGTCTCTTGCAGCACCTCATGATAAATGTCGAATAACGGCCACCACAGTCGTCCAAAACGGTTTTTTCTTGTGGGCTTGATAATTTGAGGCAGTACTGATGTCTGTCGTCGCAACGACGGATCCTTGTCGATAAGCTGTTGGAACTGCTGCTGCAAGTATGCGGCATCACCCACACAAGGAACTGCAAACAACTTAATCTCTGGTTGCAGATGCTGCGCCAAGTACAGCGCCGTGGTGCCCGTACCACAGGGCACAACAACTGAAAAAAACTTGTCTGGCCACTGTGTCTGGACGTACTCATTGATTTCTTCTGCCAGGACTTTCACCCCGTCCTGAGCTTCCGGAAACGCCAGTCCTTGTGGCACGTACAAACTCCTTGTACCCGGTGGAGGACGCAATTCGTTGTCTAAAAATGCAGCAAAGTCCCGCGTTTGTACCAGTTTATGATACAAGTCGGTACGAAGCTGCACATGGCGCATTCCCAACGCTTTGGCCATTGCTATATTTCCCTCCACTTTATCATCACGTTTGCCTCGTTTCCGTCGTATCTCTCGACTAAAGTAAGTAAATGGAATTTGTCGAGCATTAGCTAATTGTGCAAGTGCCAACATGGCGTTACTCTGTGAACCACCAAAGCTAAAGAGCGATGCATTTGTATAGAATGCATCATTTTGCTTGACGAGATAAAACATCTTGCGCATCTACAGCAAAAAATCATCATCATACACACTTTGTGTGATTAAGAATGTCAGGATAAACTAAACATAACACTACTTCAGCGATACATCAACACTTGACGACATCAAACCTTATTTCCTGCAAGATGAAATCGATCATCTCTTTTTACATGCATTCGTTGACCTCGGAACATCACTCTTGAAACAGGTGACATTTGCCACGGCCATTGCATTATTTTGGTTTTGTTGTTTGTTTGTTTGTTTTCAAATGCGTAATCGTACTTAATTCGAGAATACCATTTCCACTTACAACGTCACGACTGTCCTTAGAATCCGACTTGTTTTTTTCTCTGTTTGTTTCGCATTGTCTTCTGACGGTCGACCCAATCATCGTCATCATCACTTAACCACCACCACCCCCTTGTGTGTGTTTTATTGACCCATAAATTCTGTAAACAATGCGACGCCTAAGCTCTCGAGGTCGATATATGTGTATTACATTGTTCTTGTTCTTTGTTCTTATACCTCTTTCTTGTTTGATAATATATATATAACGATCAGGGAATGGTAAAAACTATAGTCTCAAGAGTGAAGAAGACATGGAAGAACTGATTCAGACACTAGTGGCTCAAATTCATACAAAACTGAAGAGTGAATTAAATCTGCGAGAGGTTTTTATTCCAAATTCCAAAGCAGAAGCACGTTGTAGTATCTTTGTTTCCCACAATTATGCTGCCTGTCCGAAACTCTGCATCTTTATGCAGCCAGGCAAAGGTCTTTATTTATTCGATTTCTTTGTTTTGTTATGATACTTTTTATTGTTGATTGATTATTTATTTGTATTATTATTTTTGTTTGTAAATATATACAGGAATGCAGCCAGGAATGTGGAGTTGCACAATTCATCCGAAAACAGGATTTCAGGGCTCGATGATTCCATACTTAAAAACAGCAATACAAGGAGGATATGGTGTCGTAGTTTTAAACCCAAGTACCAATTATTGCATTGTCAATGGACATCGAGCCAAGATTTTACACTCATCGACACCTGAGAGTCATGTATCATACGTTTGGAAAAATTACATTGTACCCAATGCTGCACAGGAAATTAGTTTTATTGTACACGACAATGCGGGTATATTGTTAAAAACATTTCTGTCTTCCTTAAATGGACATGAACAGCAGCGGGTTGGTGGTATTGCGTTTATTGAGTCGGCACATCAGATCTCGTCGGGAGACTCGAATGGATTACGAGAGATGCTACGTGATAAGGCAGTGAACTTTGAGGCCTCGACAGAGCCTATGTTTACAGTGATTGGATCGTCCAAGGCACGACTTGGATGCACGTCACTGTCTGTGGGACGTACTTCAGGTGAGATAAACAATCGCGAGTGGACGGTGCATTCCGTGCAAACATCGGCTTTTGTTTTTTTGCAATCCATTGCGCGTGGTATCGAAGAATCATTGCATGCCATTCGTGCTACATTTCCTAATAAGCTCATTGTGACGGTAAATCGCGCACGACTTACTGGCCAACCGTACAACAACCCGTTTGCTGTGGTGCAATGCGCAGGGCAGAAAAAGGATACTGTGGGCAGTCATAAGCATACGATGGACCCTGAGTGGAACCAGACCTTCTCCTTCCCTGTCACGTCTAGCGAAGCAAAAGTCGTCATTGTAGTGAAAGACAGATCATTTCCGATGAATACGTCGTTGGGGCAGGTTGCTGTAAGCATGAGCGAGGTGGGGCTTAACCGCGCCGACCGACGATGGTTTGCATTGCGTGACGAAAAGGTGCCAACAACTTATGGTAACGGCGAAGTTGAGCTGACACTCGAGTGGGTGCACGATACCTTTGTTGCACGTTCGGACTCATTTATTCGCGGAAACCGCATGCCAACGCTAGAAGCCCAGCAGAGATCTTGCCAGGGTGCTGACGTTGACAACTGCTGTTACCTGTGCAAGACTACTTCTGTGTTGCGCCGCCGTCGATACTGCCGCATGTGCTTGTGTCTTGTTTGTACGTCGTGCTCGGATCGCTTGTTCCTTCCAGGATTTAGCGAGCCAAAACGTGTGTGTTCTGGCTGCTGTGATCTTCAAATGATGTTGCACAACAAGCTTCCACGTATGAGTCCTGGTGGTCCGGCAAGGTTGCCGTCTCAAGAAAAGCTGGACGAACACGCACAGCGAATGGAAGCGATGCGGAAACGTGAGGAAGCCGAAAAACGTCCTTTGTGTATCAGCGACTTTGATCTTCTTAAGGTTGTCGGTCGTGGTGCCTTTGGTAAAGTTCTTCTTGTGCGCAAGAAGGAAGGCAAAAACTCCGGCCAGATCTATGCTATGAAAATTCTTGTGAAGTCACACATTATCAAGAACGACCAAATCGAGAATACAAAGGCGGAGCAGCATATTCTAAAGGAGATTAACCATCCATACGTGGTACGATTGCGGTTTGCGTTCCAGAATGCTGACAAACTCTATTTGATCATGGATTACTACCCGGGTGGCTCAATGTTCTATCATCTGCGCAAGTCGAAGCGATTTTCTGAGGACCGCACGCGTTTGTACATGGCACAATTGCTGACAGCTCTGATGCATTTACATAGCAAGCAGATTGCATATCGAGATTTGAAGCTGGAGAATATTTTGATGGACCCGAAGGGAAATATCGCATTGACCGATTTCGGTTTGTCAAAAGAGGGCCAGATGATTGAAGGTGCCATTCGTTCCTCTCAAGCAGACACGGGCATGAAAACCATTTGCGGTACAGCAGAGTATATGGCGCCAGAGCTGCTACGTCACCAACCGTACGGGAAGGTAGTAGACTGGTGGAGTTACGGTATTTTGCTGTTTGAGATGTTGACTGGACGAACACCATTTGTCGACCGCAACCGCCGGCAGATGTTCAAGAACATTATGCAGTCAGAGGTGATTTACCCGTCGCACATTTCGCCAGTGGCGCGGTCGCTTATCTCGAAGTTGCTGAACCGTGATCCGGCAAGGCGACTTGGAGGCGGCTCTAACGGTGGTCGTGATATTATGGCTCACCCTTTTTTCGAAGTCATCGATTGGGATAAGCTTATGCGGAAAGAGATCGAACCTCCTTTTGTTCCTGATGTGAACAGTGTCGACGACATCACAAATGTGCCCGAGATGTTCCAGAAAATGGCGGCTGTAGACTCCCCCGTTAACAAAAAGAATGGCGAAGGCCATCATTTTGACGACTTCACATACCAGGAAGAAGGAGCCATGATGCGCAGTATACATAGCTAGCACCAGCGCTAAGAGAGCTACGTCAATACATCACCTTTATAATTGTTATGCTTGTTGTGATTATGCTGGCGTACTGAATCACTAACGAACGTCTAGTCACTGCACTTCATTTTCTTTTTCTTTGTAGATGTCGTGTCGCCTCCAATCACTTCGGTCAACTGCACTCGTTCGCGTTTTAGGTTTGGAAGAAGGTTCGGCCCACTGCTTATCTTCTCCTTGTCCTCCAGCATTGCAGCGTTGATATTCTCCACGACTTTGTCATCTTCTTGAGCTCGCATCAGATGTAATGGTAGTTGTGGTCCTATCGCAGCAGCCCAGTTTTGACTACTTTCTTCAATAGGAGGCAGTTGAGGACCAACAGGCCCACGAACAGCTCGTGCACTTTTCTCCTTGGGTGTACTTCGATAAAGACGACGTCCATACTCTTGCAATTGGCAACAAAAGCTCTCATTGGGCTTGGCAATCGAACGTCGTTCTATCACAAAGGCCAATGCTTGCTCAAAGCTCATCGAACGCAGCTTCATAAGGTACGCTATGACCATGGACGACGAGCGACTTATGCCTTTATTGCAGTGAACAAGGATCCGACCTACATACCACCAAAACATAAAGAAAAGAAAGAGAGATACGCATCACATGCCGTACTTGGCTATCGTTAGCAAACTGCAAGGTCTCTCTCGACTCTAAAGCTTGGAAAAAAGACCAAGTTGCTACCATAGTACTTGGCTTGGTCAATGAAAGCAATACAGCCTTCCAACACTCCGGAAATGTCTTCGGCTTTGTTATCAAAAATGGCACACCGTCGATATGTAAAGAGTTTGTCCTTGTCAAAGAAATTAGGCACACCAGCTACTGGATCCATCTTCTTTGATGGCGTCACCTATATCATCAGTTTGCACTATGAGCTTTTTCCTTCCGACAATAGAAACACACCCAGAGTTTTTACATTCAAAACGTGTGTGATACAGAGTCGCTGCAGAAGCTCCTTGTCTCGCGCGTGTGTCCTGGAACCAAGAAATACATGCTCAAGGATTTGCGAAGGTTCCTTTGTATCGTCATGTCGAGTGCTCATTTCTTCAAATGTTATGGCGTTTTGTGCCTGTTTTCTCACACAATTAATGGTTCGTTCACGCGACTACTCAAAGTCGGTAGTTCATTGGCATTGTGCCTCTTTATCAATGATTCGTATACTCTGATCGACCGTCTTGCTTCGTTGAGCAAGAGTATTTGTTACAAGATGAGATCGATATGATGATTCAGCACTGTAATCTGTTGGCAATCAATCTCGAGCTCGAGAGTAAAGAGAGGCAAGTACTTTTTTACAAGTAGCCCAGAAAATTCAAAAACAAGTTACTCGAGCTTACGTGCTGACTAATGTTTATCATTGCAATTCACGTCGAAGCTACCACGATCCAATTGTATAAGTATCGGCAAGTTTGTACAAACGGTGGCTACAATCGAGTCAGACATGGCCACTTGTGGTAAATTTGAAGAGCACGATGCCATTTCTTAGGATTCCAATGCGACTCCGACGGTGGTTGCAGGTATCAAAGTAAACTTGTAACGGTAAAGCTATTACGAGCTGGGCACAAGTCGCTTGTGGCACTATTCCACTCTTGTCGTGACTGATGTGCCAGCGTATATCGTTGTGGTGAAGGATATGATTGAAGCTGGACTTCGTTTCAAAAAATCCTTCTGCGTAGGCTCGTCGGGCATTCAGTGGAAGTAATTTTGTGTACCATGTCATGCTACCATAGACATGGATCAATGTATAAAGTTCGTGACAAAGCCGTTTTTTTCAAAGTCGGTGGACTTTACAAGGCATAGGATGCTTGAAAACGGCGTCTTCCCACTGTATCAATTGTATCGCGTGGAAGCGTCACCGCCCTGAATGATCTGTCAAATATTGTTGCCTTTGAAACTTGTCTCCTTCGATACATACGTCCTTTCACCTCCCTGTTCTTCATAATGGCGCAGGCGATGGGAGACAAAGCGCTAAGGGCGATAGCTTGTAAAGGACTTGTAGACCCACCAGGACGACAAAGACCGTCAGAGTCAGCTAGCGCGAACAAAAGGAAAAGAGAAGAAGATGCGTAAGCAGCAGCTGTTTGATAAAAAAACGGGGTCAGGCGACCAAAGAGTGGTTCGCGCATACGCATACCTCGAGTGTAACGCTGGAGAAGGTGAAGAGGATCCACACTCTATCGACAAAGGTGCATGTATTTTTTCTTTTCCATTATCTAGTCAATGGTTTTGTTAACTACAACATACAAGATAATGTAACAAGGTTACACGTTACGTTATGGTGTGTTGGGACACATAAGTTACAAGTACATAAGGTACTCGTCGTTACATATATTACGTGACTTTATTAATTGCCTATAACTAAGCTTGCATGTTTCAATGAGCGATGGCCGCATGCAATAACAACGTTTAGTTTGCATTTTAACCAAAATAAAAGCAAAACGTTATTAAGGGAATATATCTCTTGTGTCTTTACCACCATATGATCGTTAGTTCTACGAACTTAGACTTAATGAGTTTCAGTCTTTCGCTGGCGCTTCCACTTGCAGCCCTGCTAGCACTTGTAGTCAATTCTAGGACAAATTGCGCGATTGTGCTTTTGTGACGATGAATTTGCTTATCTCTCTGAAGACCTACACGCAGCGTTTACTAAGCTGACTTCCCTCGCTGACCTAAAAAATGTGGAGACTTTTGCGAATCAAGGGCCGAATGCGGTAATTGCACGCCTCAATGGAAATCTGCATTGTCAGTCGTGTCTATTGTATTAGTTCTGAGGAACATAGGAACGGCTAGGGCGTTGGTATGTCCATCAGAACCTGAAGAAGTTCTCAGAACAAGACCGCTCTTAGTGAGCGTGCAGACCTTTAAGGGAAAAGAAGGCTAGAACCTTCTTATCAATACCTGGGAGGTCGATATGTTTATGTGCTCAACTCAGAGCACCAGTGAGTAGGCGCTGGCCATATTGCAGCTCGGTGGAAGTGCTACAGAATGGGCACCGAAGTGTGGTACATCGGGGGATGTTACTTTTCTGACATGGAACTTGCTAAAGCAAGATACTTCCGACGTGTTCGCGCCGCCAAATCAGGCACATCATATGATATCACGCTTTGTAGCTGCCCGTAAGAAAAAAGGGAATTGGAATCGTTCGTTCAAGAATCGAGAAATGCTCTTGCCGCTACGAAATCAGATCCTCTTCTTGATGTCTTTCGAGTGGCCACTTTGATTTATAAGGCCTTCGAGCTGGCGTTGCCAGAACGAAAGTCTTCCGTGTCCACCGCTTTAATTTCAAGGAGGCTGTGAGTGGAGTTGAGCTCTAAGCACTAAGAATCCCCGTTACTCTCACACACTATTACTAGCGAGGACGCGCTACTATATAATAGTAAATATGCCACTGAGCTTAATTATAAACTAAAAAGGAAGGTTTCTTGGAGGTCACGAGAGAAGAACGGTGGGTCACGACCATGATCCAAGGGGTAGGACGTCGACATTTTCTAATAGTGACCAACGTCAGCGCCCACACCCTAATATTGCATGACGATACGAAGATAGGTGTGTTGTTGATGAAGGACCAAGTACCAAGAGCACAAGGTTTCGTTTCGGTTGAATCTCGAAAATAAGCTGAGAGGATAAACCTGGTGCATGAATCTAACACCGACCAGGTCTGACCATCAGGTGGACCCGACGGAGGAGGACGAAGGTCCATTAGTGGAGACACCGCATTATGATATTCCATCAGGCATACGGCAGTGTCCGAAGGTCCTGTTCCAGCGATGAACATGTCACAGCGTCAAATGTTGGCGAAAGAAGAACAATCGTGCAAAGTGAAAGAGCACTGACGAAAAGAGACCCACCAAGAACGAAGTGCGACCAAGGTTACTCAACCTACAGGGGCCATTTACGATGGGGGGAGGCCAAAGTATATGACTTACTGAAAGCAGATGACCAAATGTGCACTCATGAAAGTGGGGTACTTTAGGCTGAAGAAATTAAATTTTGTATGTGCAATCATACCAAAGTGGACCTTTGATTCAAGAGTATTGAGTTAGAAAGACATTCATTTTCCTGACCCAGACAGGAACACCCCCCCAAGAGGTAGACCGACTGCGACAGATCATATGAAGTAGGCGACATCTGTGAAAGGGAAAGCGTCAGCCCTTCCACCAGACGCTTGAAGAGCTATCTGTGACATTGATGTGGGTGATTCAAGGACGGTTGGATTTACTGCGTGTAAGAAAGGCGGCCCTTTAATTCAAAGGAAACTTGGCTGATCTGATCAAGGGACTTCTATCTGCGAAGATCATCCAGCCTTCTACCTTGCCATGGGTCAGCCTGACCTTGGTTATTTTATAGGTTAATGGGGTGGACATTAGGCTGTGTATTGACTATCGGTTGGTAAATGACTTGAACTAGCTTATGGTCTACCCTATTCCTCCTGTAGGAAAATCACATCGCACGTAGTTTTGTATCTGCACACTCTAGGAAGCGGTTTATGTTCTAATCCGAAATGAACTTTATAAATGCCGGTTAGTGCGAATATTAAAAAGGTAATGCGTGTGATTACAACCAGCGGCTTGACGTGTTAGTGTCAACCGCGAAGAAGCCGCTTAAACCCGAAGTGTTGTTCCACGTGTCTTCGTTAGAAAGAAAAAGGATTTATAATGTAAATTAAAAAAAACCTAAACATAAAGCTTCTTAACCTAAAAACATATAAAGAAACCACTGTAATTTTGCTAAACTGGAATTTCAATTCAGTCTCACACTAAACTCACCAATGACAAATTCTAACACCTCCGATTAATGAATATTGGAGGATCTGAACAGAGCATTGTGGTACTTCTCCCTAGACATGGCAAGTGGTTTTTGGGTCGTCGGTACGACCGAAAGGGGAGGAGAATCTCAGCTTTTCTTACTCCGTTATGATAGTTTGAATGGCTCGAGATGCAATTTGGGCTCAAGTGCGCCTAAGATATATCATAGACTATTATATAACGCTTTGTATAGGTTGTTACGCATTCTCAAGGAGACAACACAATTAAAACTGAAGATCTGATTGCGATGGGGGAGCCACATGTAAGTCAGGCTCCTCGGTACTAAGTCGGCGGTCCTACATAGATGACATTCTAATAATGACCGACTCGTGGTATCTGTTGTGCAGAAAGGTGAAGCGGTTGTTAAATGTGTGTGACTATTGGAATTTGTCGATCAGCGCGATCAAGAGCTCGTGGGGGTGCCAAATGGTATACTATCTCGGTCACCTGGTCTTAGACCAAGGTCAAGAGGCTTACCCAAAGGACCTTCAGTCCTTGGTCTGCCTACCACTGCCGACGACACTCAAGGCCATGCAATCGTTTCTCAAAAGTCTAAACTACTACGGTAGATTCATTGAAGATTATGCGGGGTACGCGACAATTCTATATGAGGTAAGAAAGGTGGACTTCCACGATGGCGGTAAAAGTTGAACATTAATGACTTTGCGGTCACCAAGGAAAAAGACGAAGCAAGATCGTCCAAATTTCAAGTTGCTTTTGCCATGCTCAAGAATAAGGTTGCTACTGCACCCATAGTGTGACACCTTGACCCGTCAAAGGAAGCAGTGATTATATTTAAGCAAGCGAGTGGGCTCTATCGGCGTCATTGATACATAATCACGTAGGTCTTCTTATGCCAGTGATTTCTACGAGCCACCCGATATTATTTTATCGAGCTCGACCTTTTTAGGGGTATTTACACGTACCTATCTGTGCATATTACTCAACATCACGTCTGACACTTGGTTATCGTAAAGCGTCCTCCACCCTGAGTATTGAACTCTAACTTCATCAGAAGCCATATTGTTCC